TTTTTTTCAAAAAAAAAAAAGTCGAGCTAATAAAAATGACTCTTATTTCACTTTAAACGGTATTTATTTTGGGTATGTGATAAATAGAATATTAAATGCATGTAAGTCCATTACTTAACTTATTGCACTCGTTGAATAAAATAATATGCTTGCAAAAAAGGCTCGCATAATATAATTTTATGCAACTTGTGCAATAAATTCTGTATTGAATTTACACTCATTCAATATCCTCTATTTACATTCAAAGAGAGACTAATATTTATTTTTATAATCCGTTGTCTTGAAAAGTCATCTTTTTGTTTGTCATGATCACAACAGCAAATAACATTTGGGCTTCAGTGATCATAGGTCACTGTTGGTAAAATACCAGAAACTCAAGGTCGTTCTTTAGATTTCTTTTATAGATATACTGCTGCAGGCTACTGTGTACTGTCATGTAATGCCATATAAAAATGTTTATATTTTAACAGTGTGAGACGGATATTAAAGGTCAATGTATTTTATAGCTGTAAAGTTGTAATGTATATGTATGTATCAATTGCAAGAGAATCAAATGTTGATATTTTGTTTTTTCTTACCTTATCAGTATATGGACAGAATGAAGTTTGTGAAAAGAGAAATTTCAAAAAGACCGGAATTTAAAAATATAACTGACCTTAATATGGTAGGTATAAATATATTTAAATAGTATAAACGTAAACTGTACTCACAAATTACAGATAACATTTCTCAGAACCATTGTAAACACTAGAAAATCCAGTCTTATATACAAGAACAACTGTTCTCAATTAATATGTTTGTAGAAATCATCCTTTGTCTATGATTATTTGGTTTTATACGCCCGTTTGAAAAACGGGACGTATTATGGGAACGCCCCTGGCGGGCGGGCGGCATCCAATTTTGTCCGGAGCATATCTCCTACATGTATGGAGGGATTTTAATGAAACTTCATAGAAATGTTCACCACTATGAGGAGCAGTGTCGCGCACATGAACCAGGTCTCTAGGTCAAAGGTCAAGGTCACACTTAAAGGTCATTGAAAAATGCTTGTCCGGAGCAAAACTTCCACATGTATAGAGGGATTTCAATATTACTTGGCACAAATGTTCACCATTGTGAGGCGGAGTGTCGCGTGTAAGATTCAGGTCCTTGCGGCCAAGGTCAAGGTCACACATAGAGGTCAAATTTCAGATAAAAATATGAAGATGTGTATATGGACCATTTAGTCATCATTTATTGAGGGATTGTAACACAAATGGTCATTATCAAGACTATGGCTGTGATACATATAATTTAGGTCAATATATACAAGGTCAAGGTCACTAAAGATGATGAAATATCCAGATTTTGTAAATAGAATTTAATCAAAGGGCGACAACAAAGTTATTACTTTGTTCATAAATGACTTACACAATTACTCCCCTTGATCTACTTTCACTTTCAATTCTAAAAATAGAATTTAATCAAATAAAATAATCCTCTTTCTTGGACTTGAGTATGTTCTAAAGAATGTAACATTTATTTACACATGTTTCATTCATTGGTCAAGATTCTAAACTGTGATAACTATGGTGTTCTGTAGACTTGGTATTTGTTCATAAAGATCATACAGTAATTACCTTATCAAATGTAAATACTTTCCCATAGAAATTTAATTATTTATTTTAATTTTTAAGTAAATATCAGTTCAGCTCATTCAAAGATTAAGAATTGTAATGAAATGTATTTCCCTAGAATAAAATTTTAAATCAGAATTTTTTAGTTATTAAATTACAATTACATGTACTTTTTATCTTCCCTACTGATTTGTTTTAAGGTTCATTTAACAAAACAGTGCCAAGGATAAAAACTTGCTTGCTAGATAACACTTATCCATAATGCCCCCATCTCCATCTAAAGCTTTCGTAAACGGGCGTCTTTTGTGACTATGGCACCCTTGTTTCAACTTTAAGATTGCAGACTTTTAAGAAGTTGCATACATGTACATTGTATTTTATCCAATTTTAATTATATGTATATGATAACAATTTTTCTGTAACTCCTTACTTAGACCAGTCCAGTACAGAGTCATAATGGATGTTATACCAGGACTGGTTGGTCTGATAACTCTACAAAAGAAATAATAAACGTGTATGTTGTGTTGGTTTTTTGTTTGTTTAAAATTTGATTTTAAAGGGTAAAAATTTCACTACATCATGTTTTCAATATACCCTTTAAACATAAATTTTGGATTTTTTTTTCAGTATAAGTTTGTGCCACTGTATCAGTATGACTGTTCATTAGAAGGTATTGATTTGTGCATGAGGCAGACAACATTTGAGGTAATGATTTTCTAGGCATGGAGCTTAGATATTTGGTGTGAAACAGTATATCAGATCATTACCAAGTTGCATAGTAATCTATAGGAAAACCTTTAGAAATTGTATTTTCCTTCAACCAAGATATTAGGTTTTACAAGTTTGTAGTTTGTTTTCAATCATCAAAATTGGCCCAATCCAGTCCAGGGTTCACTTTATTATACATAGTTATGTAGGAAAAGCTTCAAGAAATCGTCTTCTCAAAGCCTAAAGCTGGGATATATTGTGTCTGGGATTTCAATAGTAAACCACTAGTAAGTGTTATCAAATCATGAAACTGGGGTCAAAATTGACTGCTGAGAGGATCACTTGACTTTACAAAGATTTTTCAAAGTATATCGCTTAGAGCTTAGGTAGTCAAATTCTGTTACAAACTTTGAATTGCATTTGAAGAAAAATATTATAAATCAAACAAGTCTTAACAGTTTATATGAACATGATTGAGAAAGATTTTCTATTTGCATAAACTATACCGTGAATAACCAAAAATGGTGGCCAGGGAAGGAAATGCATGCAAGGTTTTCAACATTTATTGTTTAAATTGAGAGTCTGAAATTTTCATAGTTATTGCAATATAGTTTTGAAATTTAATTGTCATTTTCTGTTGTAGATTGATGGACTCTTATTCTTTAAGAAGGATATCAAGTACAGGTCAGAAAGCACGTCGGATATACTGTGGATAAAGCCATATATTTTACCAGACGTCTTTGAAGGCATAGCAGTACCAAAAAGACTTATGGCAGAAAAGCCTGACACATACACCGATTTTAATACATTCATTGACGATGTTGAACATGGTAGAATTAAAAGTAAAAAAATTAAAACCAAAAAATCCAAAGACTTTAATCTGAATGTTAAACTAAATTTACCTCCACCAGTAGAGCCTGCCAGCAAGGGAGGTAAGAAAAATAAGAAGAAGCAGACACAGTCCCAGGGTCAAGGTTATAGACAAGGAGCAAACCAAAATCGGCCAGTATACAGGGAAAGTCAGGCTGTAAAAGGAAGTGGAGGTAAACAGAACAACAGTTATTCACAGCTACTAGCTGGAGGTGAGCAAGGTCATGGTCAGGCTATTTATGGTAAAGGAAAGTTCACAGGGCATAGTTACTATGGTGACGAGAGAGACTATTACTATCCAGACCCAGGTTATGGATCAGACATGAGGGCTAGAAGAGGGCAAGGAATGGCTGAGATGGAATCAGCTGTTCCATATAACAGCAGACGACAGTTAAATAATAAAGGTCGTCAGTACCATTTGTTTTGAATAAATTGTGTCAGTACCAAATCGCTTCGGATAATTGGCATCAGTATCATTTGTTTGGAATAAATAGAATCAGTACGAAATCATTTTGGATAATTGCATAAGTACCATTTGTTTTGAATTATTGGTGTCATTATCAAATCTTTCTGAATAATTGGCGTCAGACAATACTATTTGATTTGAGTAATAAGCATCAGTACGGTACCATTTGTTTTAAAAAATCAGCACCAGTACCATTTGTTTTTGTTTATTGGTAGTCAGTACCAATTCGTATTTGTTTAATTTTAAGCAGTACTATTTGTTCTGAACATTTATGGTTGATAATAATTTTGTTCACTACCATTTCTTTAAGCAATTGTCTTATAATAATGTCTGTTAATAGCACCCTTTGTTTTGAATAAAAGTTGTCTTTATTGTTTGTTTTGAATAATGTTCTTCAGTACCATTTGTGTTTGAATAATACATGTTCTTTATTGGTTAGTCACGCAAGTGTTCATATTTCAGATGTTGTGTTCATCTTTTGTTTTGAACAATCGAGTTTGAAACTATTTGTTTAAGAATTCAAGTGACAGCCATTTGTTTTGAATAATTGGGTTTTCAACCTTTGATTTGAACAATTTTGGTGACACCTTTTTTTAACAATTGAGTCGACATCCATTTCTCTTGAAATATTGTGGTCACAACCATTTATTGTTGGCAGCATTTCTTTTAGAATAATTGTCCTAAATAAAGGTTTATGATACTGTTTGTTTTCAACATAAAAGTTGGCAATTCTGCTAGCTCTGAATAAACATGGGAAGTACCATTTGTTTTCATTAAAGGTTGCTAAAAGGCAAGCAGTATGATTTGCCTCAAGTAAAATAGGCTTCAAGAAAGAAAGCATTGTCAAATATTGATAAATGTTAATAAGCCAAAGAAGGTATCTTTGTTTGTAAAATGTTAATATATTAGATATTACTAAGTTACTCATTTTACATTTCTAATCCAATATAAAATGTGCAGGAATATAATCGGCCTGATTAATTAATTACATGCAAGATAAATAATATCTATTTCAAGCTTTAAGATGCTAATAAAAAAGAGAATTGATAATAATATGTTTAACTATTTTTAGTGAACTATTTTTAGGGTAGAAGTAATTTTCCTGACATCATTTGTTAAACGAATGTCTCATATCTGAAGTCATATGACGTGTAAGCATTCATTTTTATGCTGTGAATATATCAATGTGATGAAACATTTTATTGCCCTATCAATTTTATACGAGGAATAGTGAGAAGCGTGTTAGAATGTTCTAGTCTGCAGGTCATTGTAAATAGTACAATAAATTTGAAATGAAAGGTCATTCATTGTTCAAATAGAATGTGTTCAGTTTGTTTTATTGCATTTTTTATCATTCTTTATATCTTTTTATAAGCTTTGTAAGTCTATTGAAAATTCGTAATTTTCTGCATCATGTTACATTAGTCAGTATGTTACACGTTTTTTATATGACAATACAATAAATTATATTAATATTGATTTCAACAAAATATTATAAACTTGATTAATTTATTAAACATGTGTAGCATGATAAATGTCTTATGAACATTATGTGTATGATAAACATTGTATGAATAAATATAACAACGTAATGTATATGCTAAACATTATTTATCACATACCCCTGCCGTTTTTGAGACTCCGTAAAATTGATATTGCATGGTCGTGCATATATTTTGGCGTGACTTTTTTGCGTTATATATAAACATAGCGTAAAGGCGCGATAAATATTAGTGTTACACTATAGGCACGTCAATGAAAAATGACTTTTTCACTTCAAACGGTCTATATTTTTGGTATGTGATAGATAGAATATTAAATTGGTGTAAGTTTATTACTGAATTTATTGAACTCGTTGAATAAAATAATATTATGCTCGCCAGAGGCTCGTATGATATAATTTTATTCAACTCGTTCAATGAATTAAGTATAAAACATACATTTATTCTATATCCTCTATCACGGATTTATATTACATATATGTATTTAATGAATATGATGAGCATGATGTGTTTAATGAACATTATGTGTATGATAGATATGACAAACATAATGTAAATGATACACATAATGTATTTGATTAATATGATAAAGATGATGTGTAGGATAATAACTTGATGAGTATGACAAAAGCTTTATACTTGTAAGATATATTGTTTATGTTTAAATAAACATCACAAAGGAAACATCATTTGTTTTTTATGCTTAATGTTTTGGCCTTTTATCAAAAAAGAAGGGTATATAATCACATCTTAGGAAAGTTTATGGAAAATACCTCTACTATTAATATATCAATTCAATTTAAGAGTATTGCAAACACACTAAGGCGGCAAAGGGAATGACTGAGCATATAGATTGAGTTGTAGAGTAAATGATGATGTAAACAATCCATGGGAAGTAATGTTATATTAGAATATCCCAGTCAAATGGAAGTAACTTTTGATATGTATAGTCTGATTTTATTGACCTGTCAATTATGAATACATTACAGGACTCATTTAAATATTCGATCCCACTTCGGTTTGGTCCGTGTAGTTTACGAGAATTAATGTGGAGTATATAAGTCATGGGTTGAAAGTAACACCAGCTTAAAGTGAAGGTTTTCGTTAATTCACAATAGCACAGTCCGTAAAGATGCCTGATAATTGAGAGGTCTGTGGTTCGATCCTTACTGTTGCCACTAGTATTCTTTCTTTATTTTTGCAGTATATTTTAAAGGAACAGATTTATAGTGTGTTTAACGGCATTGAAAATAAATTTATTGATTTTAATCCGTTTTAATTTTTTAACATGAATTCTTAAACATGTTATTTAAATGAGTATAGACATAACAAAATTAAGCAAAACATTATACATGTAAAACAAAACGAACAATATAAAATAATCATATATAGCTTCAATAATGTTGAAAGTATTAATAAGAAAAAAAACATGGATCAACGCGGTCTCGAACTTAAAAAAACGTGTGGCAGTTAGATTATAAACTCGTGTTTTACCCTATTGCGCTATAACGCTGAGTACACTTAGTTTATTGATACAAATTAAATTAAATTCTATCGTAAAGCGTACATCTCACGGAACTTACCGAAAATCTACCGAAGACTAATATACTGTGTGCATCGACTGAGTAATCAGTATGTAATTGACAGGTTAATAAAACCAAACAATACATACCTCGATTAAAGTAATATTACTCTTGATATTATGTCAGTCAGTGGAAAGTAAATCCTGTATTATAAGTTGGCAGAGTCTTCAACATTTTCAAATCTTTTCAAAATCATTTGTCAATTTATTAATTTGAGCAAAATCTATATCCCACTCCTTGATAGTCTAAACACAAAATAAAACTGAATATTTCATAAAAATCAAATATTGACCAAAGTTCATAATCAGTATCAGTTTTGTAGATGTCCACAGGGAAATGCTATTTTGCATAATATAATGACATTTTGCAAGCTAGTTTGATAGCTTCCTCACATGAAATGATCCAAAGTACTTGTCGGGATTCTAACCCACATCGGTAAGGGGCAAGTGGTTTGAAGTCAAAGACCTTAACAAATAGGTCACTAATGCCCCCCGGATACACTAAGAAAATGATTATTTTAGAAAGCTGCTACTGCCTTTGTTGTACTTAAAAGATTAGATAAGCAAAGAAAATTGAATTAATATTTTTATCCTTTTCTTAACATTATTCCTTCAAGGTATTTCCTGTATCAGGTATTTTGGACTCTCTCATATGAGGAAGCTGTACAGCTAGGTGGATGTTGGTTCTACTCTAATATGGCAGGAAAGGGGCACTAGAGGTATTTTAGTAACAATAATAATAATCATGATAATAACAACTTTATTTACAAAAGGTAACACATTAAGACATATACAGATTTGTAACACCTTATTTACAATGCAGCCTTCTTAATATAATCATAGTCAGTCGAAGCAAATATAACATGTAAAAGAAATGATTAAATGGTAATCACAGTTTTAATATATATTTTAACACACATACTGAACATTCATACAATTTATTTTATTTAATAATTATCATTAAACATAATTACTTTCTTCATTGCATCATTTCAGTCTGCAATAAACAAATTTAAATCTAAGACAGACACCCATTATTAGAACACATTTTATAGTAAGAAATAAAGATAATAATAAAAATCTTTCTTGAAACTATTTTTAAATATTGACAATTTTGTTTTCCTTCTAATAGTCAGCGGTATTGAATTCCAAATAACCATTGCATTAAATTGGAATGTGTCATTAAAATAATTAGTATGTGGTTTGTAAGACAAAATTAAATTTCTGTGAGATTTTGATCTTAGATTATACTTTTGATTATTAGATATGGTAAGTCTCGGATTTATTTAGGGGGCATTATTCAGTGATTTATAAACTGGGTATAGTAAAACAGAAAGTGGCCATATGACCTTTCTTCTGTGAAAGTGACTTAAAACCCAGTAAAAACAAAAGTGAAAATCACTTTTTATGCCACAAATTGAATAGCCAGCCTTTCTGCACTCCTGTCTTGTCTGAAAATTCTCTATGCTGTTAGTCACACCAATCAAGTATTTTATTTCTAAATTCATATTAAAGGTGTATTATGCTCAATTTTATATATCAAAAGTACTGATTATTGCTATACAGTCTCTTTTTTTAATGTAAAATATATGTCTTTTCTGTATCTTTTGAACTGATCTGAAGGAAATTAAAACTATTTTTCAAAAATGCTACTTATAATGAGACAATATGCAGAATACAGGTCAAGACTTTCTTAGATCAAAATTGGCCCAGCCCTGTGGTCACTTGTTTGCCTGGTGGACCTCTACAAAACTTATACTATTTATGCCCCTTTGGTTAATATTTGATTTTTATGAAATATTCAGTTTTATTTTGTGTTTAAAGTATCTGGGAGCGGGGTAAAGATTTTGCTCAAATTCATAAATTGACAAATGAATGATGAAGAATATTCTAAGTAGGTAAGTAAGTAGCAACTATTTAATGAGGCTAACACATTTTCACAGTTTCCTGATCTTCCATGTGGGCCTCAGCATATACATACAATGTAACATAACAACATATAGATACAATATAACATAAATTATGTACAGTTAATATTTACAATTCTCATCAAATATATCCGAGAATCTGTTTGATTTTAAAATGTATTGCTGATGGTCATATCAATTGGTTGCCAATTTAATAAAAGAAATTCCAAAAATACCGACCTTATAAGAAATTTAGGATGTCATATGAATAGTATATTTGTTCTTCAGCAAAAAAAAAAAAAAAAAAAAATGAAAAATTGAATTCCTTAAGAACACAGTAATTATTTTCCCCCCCTTCAAAGGAGAGGGGTATATTAATTGGCATTTGTCTGTCGGTCAGTCCGCAGACCAAAAGGTTTCCGATCAATAACTAAAGAACCCTTAGTCGTAGGAACTTCAAACTTGGTATGATGATTAATCATGACCAGTAGATGATCCCTATTGATTTTGGAGTCAAGGGGTCGAAGTTCAAGGTCACATTGACCTTGTAGGTAAAAAGGGTTTACAGATCACTAACAAAAGAACGCTTAGGCCTAGGAACTTCAAACTTGGTATGATGTTTGGTCATGACCAGAAAAAGACCCCGATCGATTTGGGGTCAAGGGGTCAAAGGTCCAGGTCTCATTGACATTGTAGGTAAAAAGGGTTTCCGATCACTAACTAAAGAACGCATGAGGCCTAGGAACTTAAAACTTTGTATTGTGATTGCTCATGCCCAGTAGATGACCCCTATTGAATTTGGGGTCAAGGGGTCAAAAGTCAAGGTCACATTGACCTTGTACATAATAACGGTTTCCAATCAATAACTATATAACCCTTAGGCCTAGGAACTTCAAACTTGGTATGATGATTGGTCATGACCAATAGATGACCCCTATTGATTTTGGGCTCAAGGGGTCAAAGGTCAAGGTCACATTGACCTTGTAGGTAAAAACAGTTTCTGATCAATTACTTAAGAACACTCAGGCCTAGGAACTTAAAATTTGGTATGATAATTGCTCATGACCAGTACCCCTATAGATTTTGTATTAATGGGTCAAAGATCAAGGTCACATTGACCTTGTAGGTAATAACTGTTTCTGATCAATAACTGAAGAACACTTCGGCTTAGGAACTTCAAACTTGGTATGGTGGTTGCTCATGACCGGTAGATGACCCCTATTGATTGTTGGGTCAAAGGTCACATTGACCTTGTATGTGTCCAATAACTCGACAACTCAAGTTGCCTTGGTTGATATTTATTATGCCCCCACTTCAAAGAAGAGGGGGTATATTGCTTTGCAATTGTCGGTCCGTTGGTCCGTCGCTCCGTAGACCAAATGGTTTCCGAGTGATAACTAAAGAACCCTTAGGCCTAGGAACTTCAAACTTGGTATGGTGATTGGTCATGACCAGCAGATGACCCCTATTGATTTTGGGGTCAAGGGGTCACAGGTCAAGGTCACATTGGCCTTGTAGGTAAAAACGGTTTCCGATCAGTAACTAAAGAATGCTTTGGCCTAGGAACTTCAAACTTGGTATGATGATTGGTCATGACCAGCAGATGACCCCTATTGATTTTGGGGTCAAGGGGTCAAAGGTCAAGGTCACATTGACCTTGTAGGTAAAAATGGTTTCCCGATCAATAACTAAAAAACGCTTATGCCTAGGAACTTTCAACTTGGTATGGTGAATTGGTGCATATCCAGCAGATGACCCCTATTGATTTGGGGTCAAGGGGTCAAAGGTCAAGGTCACATTGACCCTGTAGGTAAAAATGGTTTCCCGATCAAATAACTTAAGAACGCTTAGGCCTAGGATCTTCAAACTTTGTATGGTGATTGGTCATGACCAGCAGACAACCCTTATTGATTTTGGGGTCAAGGGTCAAAGGTCAAGGTCACATTGACCTTGTAGGTAAAAACGTGTTTCCGATCAATAACTTAAGAATGCTTAGGCCTAGGAACTTCAAACTTGGTATGGTGATTGGACATGACCAGCAGATGACCCCTATTGATTTTGGGGTCAAGGGGTCAAAGGTCAAGTCACATTGACTTTGTAGGTAAAAACGGTTTCCGATCAATAAGTAAAGAACGCTTAGGCCTAGGAACTTCAAACTTGGTATGATGATTGGTCATGACCAGCAGATGACCCCTATTGATTTTGGGATCAAGGGTCAAAGGTCAAGGTCATGTTGACCTTGTATGTCAAGGGTAAAACGGTTTCTGATCAATAACTAAAGAATGCTTAGGCCTAGGAACTTCAAACTTGGTATGATGATTTGGTCATGACCAGTAGATGACCCCTATTGATTTTGGGGTCAAGGGGTCAATGTCATATTGACCTTGTACTTAATGATGGTTTGTGACCAATAACTTAACAACTCAAGTTGCCTTTGTTGATATTTTTATATTAAACTAAAAATGCTTTTGGTATACAGATTTGAAGGTCTTATGTAATATAACAACTTGGCTGTCATTAATTCATAAAATTTATGCATATATTATTTGTAAGATTTGTAATAACTTAAATTGCTGCACACAACCTATGGGGTCACAATACTTATTACCTTGTGACTAGTCATGACCTGTAGAGACTAAATAACCCTTATTAATTGTTTGTTCACTGGGTCAGAAGTCATGCATAATAACCTGATCATATGACTAATTGGCTGCCGATAGGGGGCATACATGTTTTACAAACATATCTTGTTTTTATGAAACTAAAAATGCTTTTGGTATACACATTTCAAGGTGTTATGTAGTATAACAAATTGGCTGTCATTAAGGAGGCCTTCATGATTCATAAGATTTATGCATACATTATTTGGTAAGATTTGTGATAACTTTGTCATAAAATTGCTGGACACAACCTTTACAGTCACAATTACCTAGTGACTAGTCATGACCAGTAGATAATCCCTATTGATGTTTTGGTCACTAGGTCAAAAGACAATCAAAATAACCTGACCACATGACTAATTGGCTGGCGATAGGGGCATACATATTTTACAAACATAGCTTGTTGTAACAGAATTGAAAAAGTGGCAGGCTCTGACAGTTTGATTGAGCCTGGTAAGTGCAAGCTACTGTCCATGCACCCAAGCACCGGCTAAGTGGTCAAATTTTGAACTCTTGCACAGTTGCTTTTAGTATCTCAAAGAAACCAGCCTTTAAAAGAATTTATTGTATAGAATGAAACCAGCCTTTAATAGAATTTATTGTATAAAATCTGTTCCATGTTCTATATTCTTCTTGATTATCTTGTGTGATTGTCTTCATTTTCATGTAGAAAAATATTGTTTTACATGACTTCTCTTTCTTTATACTATACTCCTAACACAAGGGTCATGTAAGATTTATTTCCCCTTATTCAGAGCTGGATATTATAAATCTCCATTTTAAAGTAAAAATAAAATATCTTAAAGCTAAGAATATATGAAATGTAAATGTTTATAAAACTCTAATTATTCTTTTCTTTTGAACACAGTAGTACTTCATTTAACATGTATAGCAAATTAAAAAAAAAATGGTTGACTTCAAAGTTTAGTTGTCAGCTCTTCTAGTGGAGCACCATACTAACATACACCAATTTAAAATGTATGGGTTGTTGCAAAAAAATATCAAAATAACATAAGCAGTGTAATTTGAAAAAATTATTTTGAAATATTTTTCACTTTAGTCTGTTATTTGTTGTGTTATTCAGATATGAAATGATAGGAATATTTATATGTATTCCATTGTTATATCAAACACTTTTATGTTACCAACACGTTGACTCACATACAATCTGTTTTTTTTCTGGCAGTATGCCACACCTTCTGGTCTATTTATTCCTTGTTCTTTACCCAGTAGAATCTTCACCTTGTTCAGGTCAGGTGATAACTGATGTATATTGTGTGACAAAAGTCCACATACAAACACTGCTCCAGACCTATCTACTGTCATTTGACATGGTTTATTCAGCTGGTCATCATTGTAAATGGCATTGACTTTCCCATCAAAAGTTAAACCTATCACACAGCTTTTGTCAAAGTCAGATACATATATTACAGTGTTGTCTGCACTGACTGTTAAGTAAAAAGGATGATCAAACAGATATTTCCCATGCTGATCTTTATCAAATATTTTCAATACTTTACCAGACATGTCAAGTATCTTCACTGTTGCTGGAATGGTTGTGTAAGATACTATAAGCTTGTTGTCACTATAGGCAACATCACGACAACCTCCTCCTACTTCTATATCTTCTGTGTTGGTCACTGTCATACACTTAGAGAATGTTATCAGTTGTATTATTCCTGATCTAGGAAATGTGATAGCAGCTTTATTATTGTCAACTTTAGCAGCAGCCCAAGGGTTTGAAGGCAGGTCTATTTTATCATATGATGTAGTACTGACTGTCAAATCCTTGAAAATAACTAGCTTTGGAGAGCCATAATGACAAAAAAGAAGACAGTTTTCTGATAATAAGCATAAAGATGAATCAGAGCTACGTTTGACTTTAATATCTGTGTAATAACTAGCAGTTCTTGGTACTTCAGACTTGAGTATTTCCTGGAAAGTGAAAAATTTATCACAGTGTTGTATATCTGTTATATTCTGTGCAGAAGCTGTGCATTCAACTTTGTAGAAATGAATAAAATTGTTTTTACATTGTTTATTTGCATCTGGTTTCAATTGATCAGTGATTTCCTGCCCCTTCTTCATAGCAACAAACATTTGACATCTTTGATCCGTACCTTGATGATGCACCAACTCTGTTGAAATGGTGTTTAGTTTTGTTTTCATTTTGGAGGTTTCTTCAGTAATCGTCTTCAAAATTTTCTCGTCATTCTTTTTTATGATTTCAATTTTCTTCTTTATTTCATTCTCCTCATCATTCAGTAACTTTTCTAGTTTCCTTTGATTTTCTTGTAATTTTTCAATCTTCTTTTCTTTCTCTTGTTTAAGTCCTTTTAAGGTTTCTTCTATTTTCTTCTCAAAGTCTTGAATTATTTCTTTCTGATGTTTTTCAAACGCTAACAGTATTTCTTTTTTCTTTTTTGTAACTTTATCTAATATCTTTGTTTCTTGTGAAGCAATCTCCTTCTTGTTTATGTTCATTTGCTCTTCTGTATTTTCTAAATCTTTCATTAACTCATCAAGACTTTCATTAAGTTCTTTGATTTCTTGGCTGTTTTCAATCCCGGGAACAAGAGCTGGCAAATGGCTGATCATACTACAGTTCCCATGGTCTTGAGTCTTGCATTCAGTACAGGCAAATTTCTTACAATCTTGACAATAGAACTTGATCAGTTCATCTTGATGAACAGAACATTTCTCTAGACAGAAATCCTGTGGCATGTTATCCTTATCCTTGATAGTATGAGTAGGCATATATCGTTTATGAAATTTAAGGCAAGTCACACACAAGTACTCGAAACATTTCTCACAAAATCCTTCAGCAGGAACATATTGCTTGTCATGTTTATCACAATGTTCACAAAACATCTCCTGAACTTCATCAGAGTCCTGTGTAAATGAAGCACTGAAGTCTATCCTGGATTGTGCCATGTTTTTTTTTTAATTTAAAACACGAATTAAGTACGCAATACTGTCTATCTAGTTGTGTTTAAAATAAATGAAATCAGGAAGTATAGATCTATCCACTGACAAATTTATTATTCTTTTTATACTGTGTGTAGGGAAGGTAGTTTTAAGTTGTATCTATTACTGGTATTGGATTTATAAATAGCAGTTGTTAAGGTAAACTTCTACTAGGTCATGAGATTATAAACTCGTGTTAAAAATATATATACCCAATTTAACTTTGCAACATGTTTTGACTCATCTATATATAAATGTAATGTTCTCATCTTTTTGTAATATTTTGTAATTTGTGTATACTTTCTCAATTTTAACCTTTTACTTCATCTTTCAAGTACACAATCTTATAATTTAAAATTGCTATTAAACATTTATTTTACATTATTTTAAATATTAGAATTATCATAGTAAACACAGTATTGTCTGAATAACTTTTTTAGTAAAACTCAAAATGTTTAGTTAGATAAAAAAATTTAATTGTGTTTTCATGTGGTTATGTATGATTGTTAATGACTATGAATAACTAAGTCAAGATATGTTATGAATAAGTCAAGATATGTTATGAATAAGTCAAGATTGATTATGAATAAGTCAGGATAGATTATGAATAAGTCAGGATAATTTATGAATAAGTCAAGATAGGTTATGAATAAGTCAATATAAACTATGAATAAGTCAAGATAAACTACGAATAAGTCAAGATTGATTATGAATAAATCAAGATAAACTATGAATAAATCAAGATAAACTATGAATAAGTCAAGATAAACTATGAATAAGTCAAGATAAACTATGAATAAGTCAAGGTAGACTATGAATATGTCCAGATTATAAATAAGACAAGAAATGAGTAAGTCAAGATAGGTTATGAATATTTTAAGATTTATTATGTTAAAGTCATGATCGATTGATAAGTCTAGATTTTGATAATAGCCTGATGATAAGTCAAAATCTTGAATTACCAACAATTGGTCTTGACATGTAATCAGGCTTTTATACAGAAGATCATGCTGATTATTTGACATCAAATGATTCAATTTATGATAATTAGTAAAGGTTTGACATGGAAGATCATGTCATGGGTTTTTTTGTGCCCTTTTCCTACATGAAAAGATTAGAGCACACTACTAATTAGACAGCTCTTTTAAAGGAAGTAGTAGGGAATGCAGCTGCCTGAAAAGTTTGTAGCATATTCACTAGTGACTTATTTTAATGAGACATATTCATTTCAAATTTACTTGATTTCTGCAATAAAACCATTTTACCAAAAGTTTAGCAAAGTATATCTATAACTATTAGTAGGTATTGTTCTATCCAGGTAACTCCATTATTTTAGTGAAGGATGTCACTGTCTTGTTCAAAATAGGGCACCAAATGAATTATTAACATATTATGTGATAAATTTTCCAGAAAATGCCATATTGGATTGCATATATCATGAAATAGAGAAAACATTCTATGTGCTGGACATCATGAATTGGAAGGACCACCCTGTTTATGATAGCGATGTAAGTATAGTTTTAACACAGTGATTTGTAGAGCTGTCATTGATTCAGTGCAAAGGATATTGACTAATTATTGATATGTGATAACCAATTTAACGATCATGTCAATAATTTACTTTCATACCTGTTTAATTGATTTTAGTAAAATACATATACAGTTGATACAATTTAAGATGTGTCCATATTGCATGACTTTTTTCTGACCTTTTTGGTTTATACAAAACTTATTTTAGTTTGATTGTGTAGGAAGCTTAGATTAGCTTATAGATGCACTTTTGAATCCGTTTCTAGAACCAACCAGTACTGAGCAATGAGTGTAAAGTTTCTTGCTCAAGGAAACAAGGACTTGCTCCTGACAGGGTTTGAACACATTCGGCTAGTGATCAATAGATTACTAGTCCGACAAGTTAACTACTCGGCCATGACCTTTAATGAAATATGTCCATTACATAACAACAAGATAGTTCTAGACATGGACACCTGTTTCAATATACATTGTACATGTTTGTTTAGGATGAATTTCATAATTTCTTTTTCTAGACATTTAATCAGCTTATATAGAATATCATTTTTTTCAAATGTGTATCGGTTATTGATCGACAGAAAAAATATCAAGGCTATATCAATATTGCATGTTTCTATTGATGACAGCTCGTAGTTATGTCAGTTAAGCAAGAAACAGGATAAGTACAATGGTAAACTATTTTCTAGATATCATAATTATTTACCCTACTTTGGCCAGGGCCAATTGTTACCTTCATTGATACCAGTACTGGTTAGTTCCAGAACATTAAATTTATTGGATATACTATATACTTGTATATGTTGTATTAACTTGTTTCATGGTCTAACTTATATGATGATATTTAATATTATGGAATGCTTCTTTTCGTTTAGAAAAAAAAAATCATTAAAAAAATCCAAAAAACCTGGAATTATTTAGAAGATAGTGCAAGTAGTGCAAGTACAGTTAAACTTCGTTCGCTCGAACTCGGATCGCTCGAATACCTCCCTTCGCTCGAACTCATCGCCCAGTCCCGGCAAAAATCTTATATAATATATATTGTTCTACCTCGGATCGCTCGAACACCGATCGCTCGAACTCTCGAACCTGATCTCTGGTCCCTTGGGCAGATATATAGTGAAAATCACATCTTTTCGGTCGAACACAAAAAGACAAGTCGACATGTCCTAAATAAATGAAGTCGGCGACACATGTTTTTAACACCTCGTGATCGTGACAAAGGCGATTAAGGTTAATTGATACAAAATAAGAGTTGTTGTAACCAATTTGTTTGTTATGATAATATTGTTGATTTGCCGTTTATGGTAACGATAAAAAGAAAATAACTCGTGAAATAAGTGAAATATGCAAAAGTAAATACAGAATGACGTTTACCCGGACGGCTTTAATTACAACCGTAGTTCATGTTACGTGAATTGTAACAGTGTTACCTTTTAATAGATTGATACGTGTTCGTATGTTTATTTTAGTAAATGACTACGAATAAATGCTGCTGTAAAACTTTTTCTTAAATATTTAATTAATTATTTTTTTTAATTAAATTAATCCTATTATAAACATATAAATATATTTTGAACATTGTTCAACAAGTTTGGTCTGATTGCTCAATCGAACTCAACATGAATATAGATTAACACAACGTACCGTTAATACTTAATTGAAAACACTGGGATAATAATTCTGAATATGACATATTCGACGAACAGATGTTCTAACAAACAATTATATTGACGTATTTATCATTCGACCGATGTATGCTAGAAAACCTTTAGGCAATAATAGTTCGACCTCGGTTGGCATGAACTACCGATCTCTCGAACAAATTTGCACAGGCCCTCCGAGTTCGAGCGAACGAAGTTCGACTGTAATTCAAATTAACTTCTGTATGTTATAGTTTTACTCTATAAGTCATTTAAAGTAATGTTTTATTTCAAATCAAGGAGTTAAATGTTTTATACTAGTAAAATGTCAAGTATGACAAAAAAGTTTTGTATAATTTCAGACTGACTTTCGTTTTTTCTGGATGATGAGCAAAATGCAGGAGATTCCAGAGGTAGGGGAAGTCAGCAAATTGAATCCAGTAAGTACTCTACACTTTGCAAACAAAAACTATAGAGCTCTTGTCAGGACACTCTTATTTGCTTTTTCATTGGCTTAGGTGTCAAGTTTGTCATTGGCTTTAGGGCAGGTTTTAATCGTTGGCTTCTGTGTCCACTTTGTCATTGGCTTTAGGGCCTGCTTTTATAATTGGCTTAGGTGTCAAGTTTGTCATTGACTTTAGCGTCAACTACTATCGTTGGCTTAAGTGTCAAGCTTGTCATTGACTTTAGCGTCAACTTTTATTGTTGGCCTATGTGTTTGTCATCAGCTTTAGGGTTGGCTTTAGTATTGAGTTTGTCAATGGCTTTGGTGTTGACTATTATTGTTTGCTTAGGTGTCGACTTTGTCATTGACTTTAGCGTCAACTTTTGTCGTTTGCTTTGGTGTTGAGTTTGTCATTGGCTTTAGCTTTTGTACCAAGTTTTATTGTTGGCTTAGATGTCAAGTTTGTTATCAGCTTTAATGCCGGCTTTTAGTGTTGGCATTGGTATCAAGTTTGTAATTGACTTAGACTTCAACTTTCTTTTGTTGGCTTTGGTGTCAAGTTTGTCATTGGCTTTAGCGCCAACTTTCATTGTGGCTTTGGTGTCGAGTTTGTCATTGGCTTTAGCGCCAACTTTCATTGTGGCTTTGGACCAAATTTGTCATTGGCTTTAGCGCCGACTTTCATTGTGGCTTTGGTGTAGAGTTTGTCATTGGCTTTAGCGCTGGCTTTCATTGTGGCTTTGGTGTCGAGTTTGTCATTGACTTTAGCGTGGTTTGTTATCGTTGGTGTATGTTTCAAGTTTGTCATTGACATAGGCTTCAACTTTTTATTGTTGGCTTTTGTGTCGAGTTTGTCATTGGCTTTAGCTTGGGCTTTCAGAGTGGCTTTGGTGTAGAGTTTGTCATTGACATTAGCTTGGGCTTTCAGAGTGGCTTTGGTGTAGAGTTTGTCATTGACTGCAGCGTCGACCATTATCGTTGACTTAAGTGTCGAGTTTGTCGTTGACTTCTAAGGGTCAAGACTGGTCTGCATTACTGTAGTATTTCATATATAAAAATTTCTAATAAAAATGGTTGTGCCTAAGATGATTATTATTGTAAAATATATGTTGGCACTGAATCTATATCCTTCTTATAATTGTGTGAATTTTTGTTGTGTTTTTGTTAAAACATATTATAATTTTGAAATGATTTAGTCACATGTTCTTATTGGAATGATTTTTTTTTTCAGTACAAATTTATACCACTTCAGTATCATAGCTGTAAGAAAGAGAATCTAGAAGAGTTATTTAAATCAACAACAACACAGGCAAGTAGTTATACCATTAAAATCATAGCAATCTGAATTATTACATTTTAGGAATTTTAAGGCAATTGATTTATAAAGCGCAGCGGTTAATAAAAATGCAATTAGTGGACAAAATGTTTTAAAAAATGATTAGGAAGACTTTTGCTGGGTCTGGAAGCTTATTATTGGAAACTTCCTAACTGAAGGTTGGAGGTTCCACTTCAGCCTCCAATTGCGCACAAAGTGCTAGGGACACATGATGCCTACTTTCACCAGTTACACTTTTCAGGCACAAAATGACTATTCAAATGTTAGGTCACAATCAAGAGCAATCAAATTCCAAGGGCAGACATTGATGGAAAATTTTGTATCATTAATATTAAAAGCCGAAAATCAATGATATATCACACTATATAACCAGTTCAGTGGAAACAATTTGAGTATGTGTTATAAAACTGTCATCATTGTGTTTTACATGCTTGTTTTAGTCATCACAAATACAACATATTGAAAAAAAATGTATGTTTTCTTGCTATGGTTTCTCATTGACCAATTGACCAATGAAAAGTAATTTTACTGTTCAACCTGGGGGGGGGGGGGGGGGGCTGGGGCATTTATGGCAGGGGAATGAAATGGAGTGCTTTGTCTTATAGAAGTAAATTGTTTCTCTTTACAGTTTGATGGTTGTCTATTCTACCATAAGCAAGCCCACTACACGTTTGGTGCATCTCCTTTAGTTGTTTGGCTAAAACCGTACATGGTCGGAGAACTGCTCGGCATCGAAATTCCAGATTGTATGTTGCAACAGAAACCGGCTAATTATTCTACGTATGCTGCGCACATGCAACAGGTGAAGGACAAGAAAGAGCGCTATGAGAAGGAGCTTGAGGAAAAGAAAGCGCATAGGAAACAGAAACGTGGACAAGATCGGTCAAAACAATTTAAGATGGATGTAAGTCAAGAATGTGATGTTTCTGATACTAGTAGTAGAAATGAGGGGAATATCTCAAAATCTAGCGTGAATGACAGTAATGTTAGTGAAGATATGGAACACCAGGTTGTTGCTAATAGTAACAGTGTAACATGAATATTGCAGTTTATATTATTTTATGAAGCAATGAAAAAATTTGTGCTTAAAGTTGTTTTTTTTAACCATGAAAACTGGAGCTGCACCTGTATTTCTTTTACTGTTGAACAGTTTAATATAACGTTTTCAGTTATAGAAGTTTAGTTTAGTTTTAGATTTTTTCCCCTTGATAGAGTTGGATAATTTTCTTTTTTAATGCACCAAAATAGGGAAGATCCCTGTATTAGTTATTGTTAAAAAGATACTGTTAAAAGAATATTTTTTTATGCTCCCTCTGTCCGTCCGTCCGCTTTTCTTGTCCGGGGACATAACTTTGAAACAACAAAAGGTATCAACATGAAACTTTGTAGGTAGATAGATCTCATTGAGTAGGTGTGCAATGCACAAGAACCATAACTCTTCCTGCCTAATTTTTGAATTATTGCCCTTTGTTTATTTTTACACTTTGAATTTTGTCCGGGACATAACTCAAAAACTATAAGAGATATCAACATGAAACTTTGTAGGTAGATAGATCTTTTTGAGTAGGTGTGCAGTGCACAAGAACTGTAACTCTGCCTTGCCTAATACTTGAATTATTGCCCTTTGTTTATTTTTACACTTTGAACTTTGTCCGGTAAATTACTCTAAAACTATAAGAGATATTGACATGAAACTTTGTAGGTAGGTAGATCTCATTGAGAAGAAGTGGATTGTTAAAGAACCATAACTCTGTCTTGCCTAATTTTGGACATATTGCCCTTTGTTCTTTTTTACACTTTGAACTTTGTCCAGGACATTTCTCTAAATGTATAAGAAATATCAACATGAAACTTTTTAGGTAGATAGGTCTCATTGTGTTGAAGTGCATTGTTAAAGAACCATAACTCTGCCTTGCCTTATTTTGGAGTTTTTGCCCTTTGTTCATTTTTATACTTGAACTTTGCCCTGGACATTACTCTAAAACTATTTGTCCTGGAGATTACTCTAAAACTATAAGAGATATCAACATAAAACTTTGTAGGTAGATAGATCTCATTTGATAGAACTGCAATGCTAAAGAACCTAAACACAGCCTTGTCTAATTTTGGAGTTATTGCCCTTTGTTAATTTTTACACTTTGAATTTTACCCGGGACATAACTCTGAAACTATAAGAGATATCATCATGAAACTTTATAGAAAGATAGATCTTATAGAAAAAAAATAGAAGTGCAGTGCATAAAACCATAACTCTGCCTTGCCTTATCTTGGAGTTTTTGCCTTTTGTTCATTTATTTTATATTTTCCTAAGTCATTGTTTACAAATTGAAGGATATTATAATCAATGTTACTTTCAATTTGATAAATCCATGTTCATAACTGGGAGGATATTTCTATGTTTGTACAATAGAAAAGGTATTTTAATGTTTATAAATCAATGTTTACAATAGGGAAATTGTTTCAATGTTGAGAAATCATGTTTACAACAGGAAGGTTTTTAAATTTTGATAAATCAATTTTTACCACTGGACAGGTTTTATACTGTTGATAATTTTTTACATTGGAGAAGGTTATTGCTTGTGATAAGTCAATGTTTACAAGAGGAAGGTTATTATAATGTTGATACATCAGGAAAGATACTATAATGAAAAATCATTGTTACTTTCAAGTTGATAAATCAATGTTACTTTCAAGTTGATTAATCAATGTTTACAACAGGGAAGGAAAGGCACAAACACTGTTGAGTAAAAATTGCTGTTTTACTTTTGTTTGTGCTTGTTTTATTGCCATTTATTTTGATAAGAAATTCCATTCAATAAAATATGAAAACAATATTCCAGTGTTTGTGTTCTGTAAATCCTTCTCTATTGTTACATTTAAATTTCTTTTAGCACTTTCTTCTTCACCTTTTCTTATTGTTTTTAAGGGGACAGTATTGGATTCACCTGTTGTCCCTTCGGGACAATTAGAATTTTTCATGTCAATTCATTTTTCACAGCTTTTTTGAGGGGAGCTTTTTTTTTAATTTTTTTTTAAAATAGGACTGTGACCTTTCATATAACAGTTAAACCCATCATGGGATAAAAATTATACATAGGTAAAATTTTATGCCCCCCTTTGAAGAAGAGGGGGTATATTGTTTTGCTTATGTCTGTCTGCCCGTTGTAAGACCACATGGTTTCCCCTGATTATCTTGAAAACTAATTATCACAAAGTCTTCATATTTCACATGGTGATTGGTCATAACTAGTGGATGACCTCTATTGATTTTGGGGTTGTCAAGGTCACAGGGCCTTAAATGTCAAAAGGGTTTCCGCTCATTATCTTGGTTACAATTCATCACAAAGTCTTCTTATTTCACATATTGATTGGTACAACTAGTAGATGACCGCTATTGATTTTGGGGTCAAAAGGTCAAGGTCACGGGCCTTAAAGTCAGAATGGTTTCTGCTGATTATCTTGAAAACTATTTATCACAAAGTCTTCATAGTTTGCATATTGATTGGTCATAGCTAGTAGATGACCCCTATTCTATAGATTTTGGGGTCTATAGGTCAAAGGTCAACGTCACAGGGGCCTTAAATGTAAAAATGGTTTCCGCTCATTGTCTTGGTTACAAATTATTCATCTTAAAGTCTTCATATTTCATATATTGATTAGTCATAACTAGTAAATGACCCCTATTGATTTTGGGGCCACTAGGTCAAAGGTCACAGGGACCTTAAATGTCAGAATGGTTTCCACTCATTATCTTGAAAAGTCTTCATTATTTTTCTTTTTTCCATAATTGAACACTTCCATGTTCCCATTTATGGCAAGTTTCTATAACAAAATTACCAATAATGTGAGTCAAGGGCTAGAATGTGGGGCATATGTGTCGTTAGACATTTCTTGTTATCCTTTGAGATTAAAAGCAGATTCTATATGTTGGACCTCCTTAGTTAAGGTCAAGGTTACAGATAAAGATCAAAGATCAGATTTATGTCTCTTCACCTTACAAGTTAGTTTTAGGATGTCCATGATGGTTGGGTCAAAGTTCTATCATATTAAGGCAACTCACAGAATTTCCATTTCAGTACCATAGTTTTAAGGTCAAAGGTTTGTGCTAGATATTTTGTATATCTGATGGAATATCAAATGTTTATTTCATTGATGCAAGATGTAGAGGTGTCATGAAAACAAGGCTGTGACTGTTGCAACGTGTATATATCTAGTAACGCCGGAATGTGAAAATAACGCATGATTCAAGCCAAAAGTAATGCAGAATTGTGCAATAAATTTTTTCCACAAAATTGCTTACTTTTCAAGATCATTCGTGAAAATGATAGCTTGACCATCATTAGCAAAGTAAGCAATTTCATGGAAAAAATCTTGATGAGGGATAAAGAATATTGTCTTCTCAGCCATATGTGGCTATTCAATTTGGTTAAATAAATCATATAATGGCCAGTTTACTTACCGCGTTGAAAAATCCTGTCAGGTATCCGCCATTTATTGCTCAATTCTACGTTACTTTTTGCACAATTTGTGTGTTATTTTCACATTCGGGCATTACTGGATACACACAGTGTGTTTGGGAGACAAAGACATACCCATGATCCATTGGTCAACACCCTTACCACTGAGCTACCATCCCTTTTGCTAGTATTTGAAGGGTTGATTTATAAAAAAATTATTTTTTATACAGCTGATGGAATCTAAATGGTTCACAGGAATACCAGAGAATTTTGAAACAGATTGGTGTACAGTAGCATGTCCTGTAGGGAAAAGATGCCTAGTCATGGCTATAGATGTAAGCCAATATTTACTATAATTTATTATAAGATAATATTTAGTTCTATTCAGATACATAATAATACATTGTTATTATACGTGCTCATGCATGATGAAATAATAAATAATAAAATAACTTGATAATGACTTAAAAGAAAATGAGGCTATACTTTACATATTGGGGCACATATGGTAGTTCTAATGAGATAAATTGAAATGAGAATTATTTTAAACCTATATATATCACAATGTATTGACAAGAAAATAAGCATGAATTAAATGGTGTAAGGCAGAAAATTTGGGAAAAGAAGAGGTCCCGTAAGAGCAATGAAAAAAAAATTATAAAAGGTGAAAATGGCAGACTAAACCTTTGAGTTTAGTTTTTAATGACAAGGTTTTAAAATAAAATTTAAAAAAAATTTGTTACTGAAGGAAAATTTAAATTTTAAATCATTTTTGTTACTGAAGCAGAATGATGTACAATTTTAAGTATGAAACATGGTAACTATTTACAGGGAGAGACAAAGTCATTTAGCAAGAAAGGTTTTAAGATACCTGGCTATTTCTTGTCGGTGTTGCCAGGTGGAAATGGTACAGAGTATGGATTTGGTCCTACAGGTATGCTTAAACTGTAACAAAATAGTCCATAATAGACATGTCCTGCCATGAAGTTGAAATAATCCATAGTAAGTTGAAGGGTTTTTTAATTCCAAGTAGCAGGGTTTCTGAGTGTTTTTTTGTGTCGGGCTAGCAATTTAAAGATTACTGGCCATGCTGGTTCAAACCCTGCTGGAGCAAGCTATTATTTCTTTGAGCAAGAAACTACACTTGTTGCTTAGTACTGGTCAAGCTAAATTTGAGTATTTCAATAAGCTTATAGCTTCCAACACAATCAAACTCAAATGAATTCATACAAACTAATTCTAAACTGTTTAAATTGAGGAGTTACCAATTTTGAGTTTGGTTAGACTTTACGTACTTTCATAGCATTTATATAATACTAATGGCATATAGAAGTCTTTATTGCATTTACTATTTTTAGTGGAATATAATTGATTACTTATAAGTGCATTTTTTCATCCTAAATAAATTGTAATGTCTTCTAATGAAATTTCAAAATAAATGATAATTTTACAGTTGTGACTCTACTTGATTGCTTGTTCCATGAAGAGATGATGACTTATTTTATTCTGGACTGTATAATGTGGGCATCGAATGACGTAAAAGACTTCCCGGTATGTAATTTCAAATGAGTCCTGGCATACAATAACTCTACTGTCATTGTGTTGCTGCTTCCTTGTAGCTAGAATTTGTAAAGCACTTACCTTGTTTTGAATTGGGAACTATTTGTTTCGAGTCAAAAATAAGCAGCCATTGGTCAAAGTGCATGAAAGTGCAACTTGATTTGGCTCTTTACTTGTGTTAAAGACAAGTTCATATACAGTTTACATTCAAAGAGAAAAACTAAAATTTATTCATAATCCATTTGTCTTCAAAAGTGATCTTTTTGTTTGTCATTGTCACAACAGCAAATAACATCTGTGCTTCAGTGATCATAGGTCACTATTGATAAAATACAAGAAACACAAGGTCGTTCTATAGATTTATTTTATAGACTTGCTGCTGCAGGCTACTGTGTACTGTCATGAAATGCCATATAAAAATGTATATATTTTAACAGTGTGTGACGGATATTAAAGGTCAATGTATTTTATAGCTGTAAAGTTGTAATGTATATGTATGTATCAGTTGCAAGAGAATCAAATGTTGATATTTTGCTTTTTCTTACCTTATCAGTATATGGACAGAATGAAGTTTGTGAAAAGAGAAATTTCAAAAAGACCAGAATTCAAAAATATAACTGACCTTAATATGGTAGGTATAAATATATTTAAATAGTACAAATGCGTAAAGTGTACTCACAAATTACAGATCACATTTCTCAGAACCATTGTAAACACTAGAAAATCCAGGAACAAATGTTCTCACTTAATATTTTAGTAAAGATCATCCTTTGACTATGATTATTTGGTTCTAACATTAAGATTGGAGACTTTTAAGAAGTTGCATACATGTACATTGTATTTTATCCAATTTTAATTACATGTATATGATAACAATTTTTCTGTTACTCCTTACTTGGATAAATCCAGTCATAATCATAGTCATCAGTCATAATAGATGTTATATCAGGACTGGTTGGTCTGATAACTCTAGAAAAGAAATAATAAACGTGTATGTTGTGTTGGTTTTTTGTTTTGTTTAAAATGTGATTTTATAGGGTAAAAATTTCACTACATCATGTTTTCAATATACCCTTTAAACATAAATTTTGGATTTTTTTTCAGTATAAGTTTGTGCCACTGTATCAGTATGACTGTTCATTAGAAGGTATTGATTTGTGCATGAGGCAGACAACATTTGAGGTAATGATTTTCTAGGCATGGAGCTTAGATATTTGGTGTGAAACAGTATATCAGATCATTACCAAGTTGCATAGTAATCTATAGGAAAACCTTTAGAAATTGTATTTTCCTTCAACCAAGATATTGGGTTTTACAAGTTTGTAATTTGTTTTCAATCATCAAAATTTGCCCAATCCAGTCCAGGGTTCACTTTGTTGTGACTGCTGTGGGGATCACTTGACTTTTCAAAGATTTGTCAAAGAACATCGCTTAGAGCTTAGATAGTCAAATTCTTTTACAAACTTTGAATTGCATTTGAAGAAAAATATTATAAATCAAACAGTTTATATGAAAATGATTGAGAAAGATTTATTTTCTCTTTGCATAAAATATACCATGAATCATTCAAAATGGTGGCCAGGGAAGGAAATGAATGCAATGTTTACAACATTTATTGTTTAAATTGGAATTCTGAAATTTTTATAGTTTTAGGTATTGCAATATAAATTTGTAATTTGTCATTTTCTTTTGTAGATTGATGGACTCTTATTCTTTAAGAAGGATATCAAGTACAGGTCAGAAAGCACGTCGGATATACTGTGGATAAAGCCGTATATTTTACCAGACGTCTTTGAAGGCATAGCAGTACCAAAAAGACTTATGGCAGAAAAGCCAGACACATACACCGATTTTAATACATTCATTGACGATGTTGAACATGGTAGAATTAAAAGTAAAAAAATTAAAACCAAAAAATCCAAAGACTTTAATCTGAATGTTAAACTAAATTTAAACCTCCACCAGTAGAGCCTGCCAGCAAGGGAGGTAAGAAAAATAAGAAGAAGCAGACGCAGTCTCAGGGTCAAGGTTATAGACAAGGAGCAAACCAAAATCGGCCAGTATACAGGGAAAGTCAGGCTGTAAAAGGAAGTGGAGGTAAACAGAACAACAGTTATTCACAGCTACTAGCTGGAGTGAGCAAGGTCATGGTCAGACTATTTATGGTAAAGGAAAAGTTCACAGGGCATAGTTACTATGGTGACGAGAGAGACTATTACTATCCAGACCCAGGTTATGGATCAGACATGAGGGCTAGAAGAGGGCAAGGAATGGCTGAGATGGAATCAGCTGTTCCATATAACAGCAGACGACAGTCAAATAATAAAGGTCGTCAGTACCATTTGTTTTGAATAAATTGTGTCAAGTACCAAATAGCTTTGGATGATTGGCATCAGTTATCATTTGTTATGAATATAATAGAATCAATACCAAATCATTTTGGATAATTGCATCAGTACCATTTGTTTTGAATTATTGGTGTCATTACCAAATCATTCTGAATAATTGGCATCAGTACCGTTTGTTTTGAATAATAACAATTATGGTCGATAATAATTTTTTTCACTACAATTTCTTTAAGCAATTGTTGTGCTTACACTTTCTATTGAATAACTGTTAAAAGAACCCTTTGTTTTGAATAAAAGTTGTCTTTATTGTTTGTTTTGAATAATGTTCATCAGTACCATTTGTTTTTGAATAATACATGTTCTTCATTGGTTAGTCACGCAAGTGTTCGTATTTCAGATGTTGTGTTTATCATTTGTTTAGAACAATCGGGTTAGAAACTATTTGTTTAACAATTGTTTAACAATGTGTAACGGTGACAATGGTTTGTTTGAAACAATTTAGCCGACAACCATTTCTTTTGAACAATTGTTGTCACAGCCATTTATTTTAAACAATTGTGGTCACAACCATTTTTTGTTAGCACCATGCAGTATGATTTGTCTCAGGGTAAAATAAGCTTCAAGAAAGAAAGCATTGTTAAACATTGATAAATATTAAGCTAAAGAAGTATCTTTGTTAGCAAAATGTTTATATTTGAGATATTACTGAGAAACTAATTTTACACTTAATTTCGCATCTAAAATGGAATATAATCACTATTACCAATGAGCCTGAATTATGGTAATTACAAGGCATTCAAAAGAGAAATCCTGCATTTTATACCTGATTACCTATTTCCATTCCAACATGGTAAATTCTATGTTGAATTAAATTTAGCATAGACGTAATTTTCCTTTTGTAATTTGGTTTATTATTGTCATATCTGGCGTCATTTGATGTGTAAGCATAATTTTTTCATGCTTTACATATATCATGTAATGAAACATTTTATTGCCCTATCTATTTGATGCACGGAATGTGAAGCGTGTTAGAATGTTCTAGTCTGTAGGTCGTTGTAAATAGTACAATAAATCTGAAATGAAAGGTCATTCATTGTTCAAACAGAATGTGTTCAGTTTGTTTTATTGCATTTTTTTTCATTCTTTATCTTTTATCTTTTTATAAGCTTTGTAAATCTATTGAAAGTTCGTAATTTTCTGCATCATGTTACATTAGTCAGAATGTTGAACGTTTTTTTATATGACAATACAATAATATGAATACTGATTTCGACAAAATATTATAAACTTGATTAATTTCTTAAACATGTGTAGCATGATAAATGTCATATGAACATAATGTGTATGATAAACATTGTATGAATAAATATAAAAATGTAATGTATAAGCTAAACATTATTTATTACATACCCCTGCCGTTTTTGCGACTCCGTAAAATTGATATTGCATGGTCGTGCATATATTTTGGCGTGACTTTTTTTGCGTTATATATAAACATAGCGTAAAGATGCGATAAATATTAACGTTACACTATAGGCACGTATATGAAAAATGGCTTTTTTTTTCATTTCAAACGGTCTATTTTTTTGGTTGTGATAAATAAAATTTGGTAATTTTTATTGCAAATTTTAAGAACCTTTGAAAAAAAATAAATTATTCCCCGGGGCTCGTATGATTATATTTATTAACGATTCATAAAATTAAGTAAAAAATACATTTTTTATATCCTCATACGGATTCTTTTAAATTTAAAATCCGTCCCCTTTTATTTAATAAATAGATAACAGATGTTTTTAATGAACTTTATTTTATGATAAAAATGACAAACATAAAAATATGATACACATAATGTATTCAATTAATAAGATAAAGATGATATGTAGAATAAACATTATGTGTGTGATAAAACTATAAAACATAGCATACATGTATCTGATAAACATGATGCATTTAATAAATATGAATATGATAAATATAATGTGTATGTTTATGATGAATAGGATTGCATTGTACTACGTGTGTTTTAAACATGAAGAGTATGATGAAAACTTTATACTTGATTAGATTTATTGTCTATGTTTAAATAAACATCATGAAGAAAACAACATTTGTTTTTTTTTTGGAAGCACAATGTTTTTGCCTCCTATCAAAAATTAAGGGAAAATGATCACTTGTTTAAAAATCAATGGAAAATAGCTCTGATATAAATAATCAGATACAATCTGAGAGTATTGCAAAGACACTAAGGCGGCATGGAAATTATATAACTGAGAATATAAATTGAGAAGTAGAGTAACAGATGATGTAAACAATCAAAGGGAAGTAAAGTGATATTAGAGTATCCAAATTAAACGGAAGTAACTCTTGATAGGAAAATGTCAGTATAGGGAAGCACCTCAATTAACAAATGATTAAAGTAATGTAACTCTTGATATTATATGTCAAGTCAGTTGAAAGTAAATTTTTCCTATATATTGGTAAATTGTCAAACTACGCCTGACATAATTCGAAAATAATGTTTCCTTTAATTAATTTCTTTAGAGTATTCGGTAATTTCTGTATCAGAACCGACAAATGTAACTAAATAAAGCTACTTTTGGCTTCGAGAAGAACCATCAACGTTTCTTAAGCTAAGTGGATAGCCTTTTCACATGTAGAATACGACGATCCTTACAAGGCCTTGATTCTTTTGCAGTATGAAAGGCGCCACTGCCATTGATTGTTCTTATAAAATATGATCAAAATAGAAAATTCTTAAAATAATTTATTCCATATAAGGTATTTTAATTATTTCTTGTGAGACAGCTCTCCAGCAAATATGCGGAAGAACAGTTGTACTTCTCAAGTGCCTGAAATTTCCAAACAGTAAAGTTGGAAATTGGCCTTTTGACTTTCCAATGTGACTCAGCAAAACAAAAGAGAAAATCACGTTTTGGTGCCATAACTTAACAGCCTGGCCATCCTGCACTCCTATGTTGTCTGAACATTCTGTATACTGTTGGTCGAACAACTTAACCCTTTTCCCCATGAGAATATTGTGAAAAATGGCCATTTTTACTGAAAAGCCTCCTGTTACAAGTTCAAACTGAAATGAAACTATGCAAAATGTTTCAATACTAATCAAACTTGGCACAAATGTTAACTGGACCATTGCCTTTGTAACGACACGCTCAGTCTTAAATTTCCTGTTACCATGGCAACGAGGGGACATCTCAAAATTGCCGAAAATCACTACTTTGCCTTGATTTTTTCCATCAAAATTTATTTCAAAGTGCTGAAACTCCGCCCCCCTTCAAACCCCCCAAACAGAAGGGGGCACGTCCCCCTTCTGTCAACCTCCTGATGTATCTTTTGGATGGGGGGCGGCGCCGAAAAAGTGCTCACTTTTTTAGCAACATTTGTCAAACGAAAACATGTGTTTGGGGCCCAAATAGGACATTTTTTTTTCACTATTTCAGGCCTAAAAAAGGGGGGGGGTGTCGAAAATGCGTTGTTTCGCGTATATATGAGGTAAAGGGTTAACAAAAAATGATGAAAAACTTTGGAATCACCCAAAATCTAGTTTTTCAATGTCAACATGTGGTCTTTCACCTAATTTTGGTGAAAAATTGGTGTTTTGTAACATTTATAATTTTTTTAGTTAACAAAAAATGATGAAAAACTTTGGAATCACCCAAAATCTAGTTTTTCAATGTCAACATGTGGTCTTTCACCTAATTTTGGTGAAAAATTGGTGTTTTGTAACATTTATAAATTTTTTAGTCAAGTAGTTTATCTCTAAATGTATTGTGCTCCAATTTGATATTCGAAAAAACTAATTATTGCAATACAGTTTCTTTTTAAATGTAAATTAGAAAATGATGTCTGTTCTGTTTCTTTTGAACTGATCTGAAGGAAATTAAAATTATTTTTAAAACTGCTACTTATTATGTTACAATATGCAGACTACAGGTTTAGATATCTCCCAGCCCCTGGTGTCACTTGATTTTAAAGACTTTATATAAACTCATTTAAGTCTTATTTTGTGAAACTACAATTCCAACAGCTTAGATATTCGACTTGTAGTACTGCCTTGTGGACCCCTACAAAACAGATACTAATTATGCCTCTTGGGTCAATAATTGATTTTTATGAAATATTCAATTTTATTTTGTTTATAAATATCCAGGAGTGGTGTATAGACAGATTTTGCTCAGATTAATAAATAGACAAACTAATGATGAACAATATGAATAATATTCTAAGTAAGTAAGTAAGTAATTAAGTGAGTGAGTGAGTGAGTGAGTGAGTGAGTGAGTAATGACTTTATTCAATGAGGCTAGCACGTTCGTTTACCCGATCTTCCATGTGGGCCTCAGCATATACATACAATGTAACATAACAACATATGTATACAATGTAACACAAATTATATACAATCAACAGTTACAACTCTCATCCAATATTTCCGAAAATCTTTTTGATTTTAAAATAGTCATATCAATTGGTTGCCAAAAAAACCCCACCAAAATGCTGACCTTTTAAAAAATATGGGATGTTATAATTTATTTATTTTATATTTGTCCTTAAATAAAAGCAAAAAAGAAATGAGAGAAAAACTAATTTGAATTCCGTAAGAACACAGTAATTGTAACATATTTGAACAAGTTGCAGTCTCTGACAGTTTGATTGAGCCTGATAAGTGCAAGCTACTGTTCATGTCTCCTAGCATCGGCTAAGACAACATTTAAACATGAAAATGGACAAATTTTGAACTCTTGCTCAGTTGTTTTTTAGTATGTCAAAGAAACCAGTCTTTAAAAGAATAGATTGTATAGAAATTGTTCCATATTGTATATTTTTTATTATCTGTGTGATTGTCTTCATTTTCATGCAGAATAATGATATTTTTACGTGACATTTCTTGCTTGTTTACTCCTAACAGAAGTGTCAACTAAGATTTACTTCCCCTTATTCAGAGCTGGCTGTAATAGATCTGTATTCCAAAGTTAAACAAGAAAAGCATCAAAGGGCGTCCAAACAAGAAATACAGCAAGTGGAGATGAACTAGTAGACATCTGATGACCAGATATTCTTATATATACTCTTCAATGGTTAATTGGTTTTTACCAGAATTGTATATCATTTATGAATGGTCAGACAAAAGACATTATACATCATGAACTTTGGAAGGCATGCTAGAGATTAGAATATCAATTTTTTTTCCACAGGAAATTAAAATTATTTGATATTAACTGTAATATCCAAAATATACAGGTCTATAATATCCAAAATATACCCCTATATGGTATAAGTTTATTTATATTACAATAAAGGGGGTATTTTTGGATATGAACATTAATATTGGTTATCTGATAGAATTTCAAGTTCATGTGGTATTTTATTTGGAACCAGGGTCTTTTAAATTGAAAGACCCAGTTGGAACATACAAAATACATACATTGTATATAGTAGTCAAAATGAACAAAGTATGTTCATTGATTTATTGGGAGATCAATCGACTATTTTAACGAATTACTTCAAAAATCTCGTCTGACCCACCAGTGTGTTCACATTCCTATCAATAAACCCAAAAAAATCATGTTAACATTGCAGACGAAAGTTTTGTTGTTAAAATGTCACAATATTCGGCAAGTGAACATTCCACTCAAACTGCCATAAAGTCGATTGCCTTCAAACAATATATAGAAACAGTTTTAGTTAAAGAGACTTGAACTATAGTATACTACTGCTACACCTGTTAACTGTCGCACAACGTCAAAATAAAAGCACATTTAAAGTTATTAACTAGGTCTATTTAAATATTCACGGTAAAAATGTCATAAGTGCAATCAGGGCCGTAAAAAAGAAAACCGGAGAGACCTACGGAAGAGACAATTTCAAAATTATATTAACGTTACTACTTAAATTTTTTCTATAGATTTATAAAGAGTGTAATTAATTTTTGTTTGAATATGTTTGCATTTCATTTTCTGCAAAATTCTCCAGTTCGTTATTTATTACCATAACGCGACACGAATGTCCGTTTCGTTAATTAAAAACTACTTCTATAAATAGATTTTCGGACTTAAACAATGTTAAGGTCATCATTCCATTAATAGGTATGCAGTAACATGCATATAATTCACTGCGGTCTGGAGACCGCAGGGTATTGGTACGCGTTTAACTTTTGATGGGCATGGAGGAGCACGTGACCTGTTTACGGTACATGGAGGAGCATGTGATCTGTAAACCGTACATAATTGGTCAATCGCAACTACTCGGCCCTTTCCGTCAGTCTTCGGATAAGGACCTCGAACACAATAGTATGAATACACAGAACGGATGTGGTATTTCGGTCTAAACTACGCTAAGAAACTAAACATGGATAAACAAATAGTAATTTAATGTTGGGAGTTGTTGACAAGTTAATTTCCAATATATGTAGTAAAAGTCGACCTAAAATTAGTGAATTCATAGGTAAAAAAGCAAACAATACAGTATTTATATATTTATTATTATGGTTGTAGAAACCGAAAGTACAAAAAACCAATCTGTTGACATTTGGTCGGATTTGTTTAAAATTGAACATCAGTGGGCATATTTGAATTACAAATTGTTTTCAGACATATTTTCAAGAGTACCGGAACAGACATTAGATGTCAAATATATACATTCGTTTTACACTATCTCTGTTTCTGTTTACATCTGAAACCACGTGGTAGAACTACTTTCACGAGGTTATTATAGATAATAGCCGAGGCAGTTCCGAATGCATAATTGGTTAATTGACCTTTTCGAAAACCTAGCTAAATACCGTTTTCCGATACGTTAAGGATTTACCTCTAGGGAATTAGTCCGAATTACACCTAAACTATTACGTGATATTTCTAATTTTCTATAATTATTTTACCGTTTAGGGTGGAAAAACTTGAATGATGTGTTTGAAAATTATCAATGTTCCTTTAAAATCTATCTCAAATTTTACAAATACTGAAAATCTACAAAATTAAAATATTCGTAGTGGCATCTGCCATGATATATAGAGCTATTTTCTGCGTAAACTTGTGTGTTTACTTTACTTTTTTTTGCTCGGAATCATTCATAAAATGGTAGGCCTATTTAATCATTTTCTTAAAAAGAAATAATTGGTTTTATCTTCGGCATTCTCCGGTCTTCAACGGTCACCAGTTTCCAAAGACCTTCTTCTATATTGATCGATAATTGTTAACTGTATTCCTGATACAAACGTTTATCTATTCCCCCAAACAATGTTGAAGATAGTTAAATGAAAAATCTTTATATCATTAAAAATGTTCCTCGTAGGAAACCATTTTACTTGTAACCCACACGATTGATAAAACAAAAAGAGCGAGATTAATTGACGGATAAGATTTCATTTAAATATGTTTGCAATGCGAACTTCTCCAGTTCGCTATTGATTGTACATATCGTGACATTTCATATTGATTATCCACAGGAACTTGAAATTCTATCAATATTTATGATAATATCCAAAATATACACCCTATACACTATAAATAAATTATTTATACTGTGTTATATATATATAAGTGTTTATTTATGCTGTATAGGGGGTATATTTTGGATATTATCATTAATACTGATAGAATTTCAAGTCCCTGTGCTGTGGATAATCAAACAACCTCAACCAATCGGAATAGAATAAACGCTGTAGAATAATTTTATTTCACCAATCAAGGGTCATGTCATACTATATGACATATATAATCACAGGCATAAAACATATGGCATGTAACAAAATATATCAACCAACAAATTGCGTATTGTATGGTAGAAATGAAGACAATAAAGAAACTAAAGCATAATTCGTATTATTGGAAAAACAAATAACACAGGCATAGAAATGTCAAAATAAGAAGTAAATAAATAAAAACAGTATTAAAAAAGAAAAAAAAAACAAACAAAAAAACAATAAAAAACACACTAATTACTCATTCGATATTCAAGTACAATAACATACATTCAATGGTCTGACAAATTTTTATTACTACTAGCACTACCTAACATAAGATTTCTTTTATAATTATAAATTTCGAGTAGGTACATGTATTTTGAAAATACATTCAAGACTCTAGGGTCTTCCGATGACATTAACCAAACAAATTTCTGCTTATTATTCAACATACAAAAGTTCTTATTTGATATTTCAATTTGTCTAAATAGTAGTTCTCTATTACTATCAAATTTTGTACAACAAATGGAAAAATGAATTTCATCTTCTACAAGATTGGAAGAACAACAGTTACAATACCTTTGATTTAATGGAATGATCGGCTATAATGACAGTCCAAAAGGCCCGAGAAGTTGCAATTGCCCTTTCACAAATATTCCATATAGGGCCTCGCGCTTCGGCGCGGACGCCAATAATTATTATCTTAAATCTAAAGGAATGCGAAGTGTAAATGTTTACCAAGCTGTTATTATTCTTCTCTATTGAAAACAATGTCATAAATCAAAAACATGTAATGTATAGCACAGTTATAAAAATCAGTTTTACTTCAAAGTTGTCCTCTTCAGTTGTTAATTTTTTCTAGTGGAGTATCATACTCAAATTTCTTAATTCAAAATGTTGAAAAAGAAAACATCAATAGAATCAACTGAGGAGAAGCATCAGAGTAATTTAATCATTTACTGGTTGGATATTGATAATTCGAATTACAAAAATAAGCAGTGTATTTTGAAAACAAACAAAACAAACAAATTTTTATTTTGACATATTTTATACTTTAGTATATTATTTGTTTCATGTAATTCAGACATGAACTTATAGGTATGGTTTTACACGTTTTCCAATGTTAATTCATACACTTTAATGTACCCATTAGATTGAAACACATACAATCTTTTTTTATTCTGGCAGTATGCCACACCTGTTGGAGAAACTATTCCTTGTTCTTTATCCAGTAGAATCTTAACCTTTGTCAGGTCAGGTGATAATTGATGTATATTTTCTGACAAACGTCCGCATACAAACACTGCCCCAGACCTATCTACAGTCAGTTGATATGGACGATCCAGCTTGTCATCCTTGTAAATGGCTTTGACTTTCCCATCAAATGTAATAGCTGATACACAATTATTATTAGCATCAGATACATATATAATTGTGTTGTCTGCACTGATTGTTAAGTTATGAGGATCAACAAACAGGTATTTCCCATGCTGATCTTTATCAAATGTTTTCAATACTTTACCAGACATGTTAAGTATCTTAACTGTTGTTGGATTGTCTGTGAAAGATACTATAAGCTTGTTGTTACTATAGGCAACACCACAGCACAGCTGTCCTACTTTGATATCTTCAGTTTTGGTCACTGTCATATACTTAGAGAAAGTTATTAGTCTTATTATTCCAAAGTCAGGAAAAGTGATAGCCACTTTGTTGTTGTCAACTTTAGCAACAGCCCAAGGGATGGAAGGCAGATCTATTGTATCATATGATGATGTGCTTACTGACATATCCTTGAATATAACTAGCTTTCGAGATTCACAGTTACTAATCAGAAGACACTTTTCTGATAATAAGCATAAAGATGACCAGGAGTCAAATGTGACTTTAATATCTGTGTAATAACTAGCAGTTCTTTGTACTTCAGACTTACGTATTTCTTGAAAAATGAAAAATTTATCACCGTCTTGTATATTTTGTATATTTTGTTCAGAAGCTGCGCATTCAACTTTGTAATAATGAATTGAATTGTTGTAAGATTGTTTATCTGCATCTGGTTTCAATTGTTCAATGATTTCTTGTCCTCTTTTCATAGCAACAAACAGATGACATCTTTGATCTGTCTTTTGATGATGAGCCAGCTCTGTTGATATAGTGTTAAGGTTTGTTCTCACTTTTGAAGCTTTCTCTGCAATTGTCTTTAAAACTTTCTGGTCATTCTTTTTTATGATTTCAATTTTCCTCTTTATTTCATTTTCCTCATCATTGACTAACGTTTCTAATTTCTTTTGATGTTCTCGTAATTTTTCAGTTTTCTCTATTTTCTCTTGTTTTAGTCTTTTTAAAGTTTCTTCAATTTTCTTCTCAAAGCCTTGAATCATTTCTTTCTGATGGTTTTCAAAAGCTGACAGTATTTCTTTTTTCTTTTTCATAACTTTATCTAATATTTGTGTTTCTTGTGAAGCAACCTCCTTCATGTTTATGTTCACTTGCTCTACTGTATTTTCCAAATCTTTCATTAACTCATCAAGATTTTCAGTGAGTTCTTTGATTTCTCGGCTGTTTTCAATCCCAGGAACAAGGGTTGGCAAATGGCCGACCATTGAACAATTTGCATGGTCCTGAGTCTTGCATTCAGTACAGGCAAATTTCTTACAAGCTTGACAATAGAACTTGAAAAATTCATTTTGATGAACAGAACATTTCTCTAGACAGAAATCCTTAGGCATATTATCCTTATTTTTGATGGTGTGAGATGCCAATAATCTTTTATGGAACTTCACACATGTTCCACACAAGTACTCGAAACATTCCTCACAAAATCCCTCAGCAGGAACATATTGCTTGTCATGTTTATCACAATGTTCACAAAACATTTCCTGAACTTCATTAGAATTCTGTGTAAATGAAGCACTGAAGTCTATTCTGGATTGTGCCATGGTTTTTTATATTTAAAACACAAATTAACTACGCAGAACTGTCTATCTGGTTGTGTTTGAAATGGTTCATATTAGGAAGTAAAGATCTACCCACTGACAAATTTATTATTCTTATCTAAACTGCACGTAGAGTAGGTAGATTTAAGTGGTATTTATTTGCTTTTCATGTTATTGATACATGTATTTGATTTATAAAAAGTAGTTGTAAAGATAAACTTCCACTAGGTCTCAAGATTATAAATGCATGTCAATGTATCTAACAACTGATTTAATTTTACAACATGTATACATTGTTTTGATTCACTGAAACTCTCCAGGAACGATGGTTAGGAAACTACCTGCCTATATGACTGAAATACTATTGGGAAAAGGCGCAAAATGAAACAAACAAACAAACAAACAAACAAACATTGTTTATGAAATATATATATATATAAATGTAACGTTCTCATCTTTTTGAATTTTTTAGAAATTTCCATATATTTCCCAAATTTTAATCCATATTAATCCAAATTTATGATTGCAATTGCTACACTTTTTATTTACTTTGATAACAATGTAAAATTATCATTGAATATACAGCATTTCTGAATATCATTATGGTTTATATTATACACTATTTTGTTTTCATGTGGTTATGTATGATTGTTAATGATTATGGATAAGCCCAGATAGACCATGAATAAGTCAAGATATACTATGAGTAAGTCAAAAAAATGTAATGAATAATCTAAAATAGACAATAAATAGTCAAAAAATGTAATTATTTAGTCAAGATAAACTATGAATAATTCAAGACAGACCACGAATGAATAAGTCAAGATGGACAATGAATTAGTCAAGATAGATTATTAATAAGTCAAGATAGATTATCACAAATTAACTACGCAGAACTGTCTATCTGGTTGTATTTGAAATGGTTCATATTAGGAAGTAAAGATCTATCCACTGACAAATTTATTATTTTTATCTAAACTGCACGTAGAGTAGGTAGTTTTAAGTAACTATGAATAATTCAAGACAGACCACGAATGAATAAGTCAAGATGGACCATGAATAAGTCAAGATAGATTATGTATAAGTCAAGAAAGACAATGAATAAGTCAAGATATACTATGAGTAAGTCCAAAAATGTAATGAATAATTTAAAATAGACATTAAATAAGTCAAAAAATGTAATTATTAAGTCAAGATAAACTATGAATAATTCAAGACAAACCACGAATGAATAAGTCAAGATGGACAATGAATTAGTCAAGATAGATTATTAATAAGTCAAGATAGATTATCATCAACAAAAGATTGATTATTAGTTTAGGTTGTTTTGCATTATGCTCTATTCCTACCTTTCCTTTATCATACTATCCTGCACTGAGAAAAGTGCAGTACACTATTAATTAGACAGCTCTTGTTTAAAGAAAAGACCATATTAATTTAACCTGTAGTAGGGAATGCAGCTTCATGAAAAGTTTGTAGAATATTCACTTATTCCAATGAGACATATTCATTTGGAATTTACTTGATTTCTGCAAAAATACTATTTTACCAAAAGATGATCATAGTATATCTTTAACTATTAATAAAAAGTTATATCCAGGTAACTCCATTATTTTGGCAAAGGATGTCACTTTCTTGTTCAAAATAGGGCACCAAATGAATGATTAACATGTAATGGTATAACTTTTCAGAAAATGCCATATTGGATTGCATATATCATGAAATAGAGAAAACATTCTATGTGCTGGACATCATGAATTGGAAGGACCACCCTGTTTATGATAGTGAGGTAAGTATAATTCTAACACAGTGATTTGTAGAGCTGTCATTGATTCAGTGCAAAGGATATTGACAAATTATTGATATGTGATAACCAATGTAACGATCATTACTTGTCAATAATTCACTTTCATACCTGTTTAATTATCCCACGCTGAAAATTTGGCGGGGGATATAGAAATAGTCTCCGTCCGTCCGTCCGACCTTCCGTCCGATATTTTTGTCCGGAGCATATCTCTAAAAGTATTTGAGTAATCAACTTGAAACTTCATAGGTGGATAGACCTCATTGAGGAGGAGTGCAGTGCACAAGAATGATAACTCTACCCTGCATAATTTTTGAGTTATTGCCCTTTGTTATTTTTCAAAATTGATTTTTGTCCAGAGCATAACTCCAAAAGCCTATGAGATATCAACATGAAACTTCATAGGTACATAGATCTCACTCAGGAGGTGTGCAGTGCACAAGAATGATAACTCTACCTTTCATAATTTTTGAGTTATTTGCCCTTTGTTATTTTTCATACTTAATTTTTTCACCTGAGTGGAGCATAACTCAAAAAGTGTTTGACATATCAACATGAAATGTCATAGGTGGATAGATCTTATTGAGGAGGAATGTTGTGCACAAGAATGATAACTCTTCCCTATACAATTTTTGAGTTATTGCCCTTTGTTCTTCTTCATGCTATTTTGTCCAGAGCTTATCTCAAAAAGTATTTGAGGTATCAACTTGAAACTTCATAGGTGGATGGATCTCATTGAGGAGGAGTGCAGTGCACAAGAATGATAACTCTACCCTGCATAATTTTTGAGTTATTGCCCTTTGTTATTTTTCAAAATTAATTTTTGTCCAGAGCATAACTCAAAAAGCCTTTGAGATATCAAAATGAAACTTCATAGGTGCATAGATCTCACTCAGGAGGTGTGCAGTGCACAAGAATGATAACTCTACCTTTCATAATTTTAGAGTTATTGCCCTTTGTTATTTTTCATACCTAATTTTTCACCGAGTGGAGCATAACTCAAAAGTGTTTGAGATGTCAACATGAAATGTCATAAGTGGATAGATTTTATTGAGGAGGAATGCTGTGCACAAGAATAATAACTCTTCCCTGTACAATTTTTGAGTTAATGCCCTTTGTTCTTTTTCATACTATTTTGTCCGGAGCTTATCTCAAAAAGTATTTGAGGTATCAACTTGAAACTTCATATGGGTGGATGGATCTCATTGAGGAAGAGTGCAGTGCACAAGATTGATAACTCTACCCTGCATTATTGTTTAGTTATTGCCCTTTTTTATTTTTTCAAAATTAATTTTTGTCCAGAGCATAACTCAAAAGGCCTTTGAGATATCATTATGAAACTTCATAGGTGCATAGATCTAACTCAGGAGGTGTGCAGTGCACAAGAATGATAACTCTACCCTTTTATAATTTTTGAGTTATTGCCCTTTGTTATTTTTCATACTTAATTTTTTCATTTCAATTTTTTTCTCAAAAAGTATTTGAGGTATCAACTTGAAACTTCATAGGTGGATAGACTTTACTGAGGAGGATGCATCACACAAGAATGATAACCTACCCTGCATTATTTTTCAGTTATTGCCCTTTGTTATTTTCAGCCATCAGTATTCACATAGGTTTCAAATCTGTAATCACTATAGCCATCAGTTTTCATTACCAAAAGACCTCTTAAAATGGAATTATTCTGCTGTACTACATATACATTCTTCCAATGAGCAAACACATTCGGCGGGGGATGGCCATGTTGACATGGCTCTTGTTGATTTTAGTAAAATACATATACAGTTGATACAATTTAAGGTGTGTCCATATTGCATGACTTTTTTTCTGACCTTTTTGGTTTATACAAAACTTATTTCAGTTTGATTGTGTAGGAAGCTATTAGCTTATAGATACACTGTCGAATCCGTTCATAGAACCAACCAGTACTTAGCAATGAGTGTAAAGTTTCTTGCTCAAGGAAACAAGACTTGCTCCTGACAGGGTTTGAACACATTCGGCTAGTGATCAATAGATTACTAGTCCGACAAGTTAACCACTCGGCCATGACTTTTTTTTTCAACACTGCTATGAAATATGTCATTACATAACAGCAATATAGTTCTAGACATGGACACCTGTTTCAATATACATGTTTGTTTAGGATGAATTTCATAATTTCTTTTTCTAGACATTTAATCAGCTTATATAGAATATCATTTTTTTTCAAATGTGTATCGATTATTGATCGACAGAAAAAAATATCAAGGCTATATCAATATTGTTTCTATCGATGACAGCTCGTAGTTATGTCAGTTAGGCAAGAACAGGATAAGTACAATGGTGAAACTATTTTCTAGATATCATAATTAATACCCTACTTTGGCCAGGGCCAATTATGTTACCTTTATTGATACCAGTACTGGTTAGTTCCAGAACATTAAATTTATTGGATATACTATATACTTGTATATGTTGTATTAACTTGTTTCATGGTCTAACTTATATGATGATATTTAATATTATGGAATGTTTCTTTTCGTTTAGAAAAATAAATTATGAAAAAAACAACAACAAAAAACTGGAATTATTTAGAAGATGTGAAGAAGTAGTGCAAGTAATGCAAAAAATTAACTTCTGTATGCAATAGTTTTACTCTATTAGTCATTTAAAGTACACATGTTTTATTTCAAATCAAGGAGTTAAATTTTTTATACTAGTAAAATGTCAAGTATGACAAAATAGTTTTGTATAATTTCAGACTGACTTTCGTTTTTTCTGGATGATGAGCAAAATGCAGGAGATTCAGAGGTAGGGGAAGTCAGCAAATTGAATCCAGTAAGTACTCTACACTTTGCAAACAAAAAATATAGAGCTTTGTCAGGACACTCTTATTTGCTTTTTCATTGGCTTAGGTGTCGAGTTTGTCATTGACTTTAGTGTCGACTTATCATTGGCTTAAGTGTCAAACTTGTCATTGACTTTAGCGTCAACTTTTATTGTTGGCCTTTGTGTCGAGTTTGTCATCAGCTTTAGGGTTGGCTTTGGTATTGAGTTTGTCATTGGCTTTGGTGTTGACTATTAATGTTTGCTTAGGTGTCGACTTTGTCATTGACTTTAGCGTCAACTTTTGTCGTTGGCTTTGGTGTTGAGTTCGTCATTGGCTTTAGCTTTTGTATCAAGTTTTATTGTTTGCTTAGATGTCAAGTTTGTTATCAGCTTTAGTACCGGCTTTTAGCGTTGGCATTGGTATCCAGTTTGTCATTGGCTTTAGTGCCGACTTCATTGTGGCTTTGATTGGCTTTTAGCGCCGACTTTCATTGTGGCTTTGGTGTCGAGTTTGTCATTGGCTTTAGCGTCAACTTTCATTGTGGCTTTGGTGTCGAGTTTGTCATTGGCTTTAGCGCCGGCTTTCATTGTGGCTTTGGTGTCAAGTTTGTCATTGGCTTTAGCGCCGACTTTCATTGTGGCTTTGGTGTCAAGTTTGTCATTGTCTTTAGCGCCGGCTTTCATTGTGGCTTTGGTGTCGAGTTTTGTCATTGGCTTTTGCGCCGACTTTCATTGTGGTTTTGGCGTCGAGTTTGTCATTGGCTTTAGCGCCGACTTTCATTGTGGCTTTTGGTGTCGAGTTTGTCATTGGCTTTGGCGCAGGCTTTCATTGTGGCTTTGGTGTAGAGTTTGTCATTGGCTTTAGCGCCTGCTTTCATTGTGGCTTTGGTGTCGAGTTTGTCATTGGCTTTAGCTCCGGCTTTCATTGTGGCTTTTGGTGTCAGGTTTGTCATTGGCTTTGGCGCCGACTTTCATTGTTGCTTTGGTGTCGAGTTTGTCATTGGTTTTGGCGCCGGCTTTCATTGTGGCTTTGGTGTAGAGTTTGTCATTGGCTTTAGCGTCGACCATTATCGTTGACTTAAGTGTCGAGTTTGTCATTGACTTAAAGGGTCAAGACTGGTCTGCATTACTGTAGTATTTCATATATAAACATTTCTAATAAAAATGTTTGTGCCAAAGATGATTATTATTGTAAAATATATGTTGGCCCTTCTTATAATTGTGTGAATTTTTGTTGTGTTTTTGTTAAAACATATTGTAATTTTGCAATGATTTAGTCACATGTTCTTATGGGCCTGATTATGTTTAATGATATTTTGTTTATTTTATTTTTTTCAGTACAAATTTATACCACTTCAGTATCATAGCTGTAAGAAAGAGAATCTAGAAGAGTTATTTAAATCAACAACAACACAGGCAAGTAGTTTTACAATTAAAATCATAGCAATCTTAATGATTATATTTTAGGAATTTAAAGGTAATTGAGGTATACAGTGCAGTGGTTAATATAAAAATTATGCAATTTGTGGACAAAATGTTTTAAAAAATGATTAAGAAGACTTTGGCTGGGTCTGGAAGCTTCTGATAGGGAACTTCCTAACTGAAGGTTGGAGGTTCCACTTCAACTTCCAATTGCACACAAAGTGCTAGGGACACATGATGCCTACTTTCACCAGCTACACTTTTCAGGCGCAAAATGACTATTCCAATGTTATGTCACAATCAAGAGCAATCATATTCCAAGGGCAGACATTGATGGAAAATTTTGTATCAAATTTGAAAGCGAAAATCAATGATGTATCAAATTATATAGCCAGTTCAGTGAAAACAATTTGAGTATGTGTTGTAAAAATGTCATCATTGTTTTATACATGTTGTTTGTTTTAGTCATAACAAATACATAATATTTAAAAAAGTATGTTTTCTTGCCATGATTTCTCATTGACCTATGAAAAGTAAATTTACTGTTCAGCCCTTGCACTGCTGGGGGGGGGGTGGCGGGGCTGGGGCATTTATGGCAGGGGAAGGAAGTGGAGTGCTTTGTCAAATAGAAGCAGATTGTTTCTCTTTACAGTTTGATGGTTGTCTGTTCTACCACAAGCAAGCCCACTACACGTTTGGTGCATCCCCTTTAGTTGTTTGGCTAAAACCGTACATGGTCGGAGAACTGCTCGGCATTGAAATTCCAGATTGTATGTTGCAACAGAAACCGGCTAACTATTCTACGTATGCTGCGCACATGCAACAGGTGAAGGACAGGAAAGAGCACTTTGCGAAGGAGCTTGAGGAAAAGAAAGCGCATAGGAAACAGAAACGTGGACAAGATCGGTCAAAACAATTTAAGATGGATGTAAGTCAAGAATGTGATGTTTCTGATACTAGTATTAGTAATGAGGGGAATATCTCAAAATCTAGCGAGAATGACAGTTATGTTAGTGAAGATATGGAACACCAGGGTGTTGCTAGTAACAGTGTAACATGAATATTGCAGTTTGATATTATTTCATGAAGCGATGAAAAAAAATGTGCTTAAAGTTTTTTTTTTTTTAACCATGAAAACTGGAGCTGCACCTGTATTTCTTTTACTGTTGAACAGTTTAATACAACATTTTAGTTGAATTTTTCCCCTTTTGGTAGAGTTGGATAATTTTCATTTTAAATGCATCAAAATAGGGAAGATGCCTGTATTCGTTATTGTTAAAAAGAGACCGTTAAATTTTTTTTTCCTTATTTTGATCAGTACTGTGTAAGCATTGAATGAAACAGTTTTTTATGCCCCCACAAAGTGGCATATAGCGTTGCACTTGTCCGTCCGTACGTCTGTCGGTCCGTCCAAAAATTCTGTTTAACGCAACTCCTCTTAAACCGGATAGAAGATTTTGCTGATGAACAACCTTAATGTGTAGATGGTAGTAAAGGAAGGAATTTTTGTTGCGACCAAATTTAACAGAATTATGGCCCTTTGTTGATTTTTTCACTATATACCATATAGAAATTTTGTGAACGCAACTCCTCTTAAACCGGATGGCAGATTTGCCTTAACTTCCATACAGATATGCATGCTCTTGTTTACGAGCAAATCTGCACAGTGGGGGCATCCGTGTCCTTTGGACACAGTTCTAGTTTCAGATCTGATCATAAGATAAAATTTATTTTTCTATTTTTTTCTGTTTTGTTTTGTTTTACTTCTAAACCTTAGTGCTATCAGCAATTAAGACTTGCCAATGACATCTGTAGGAATGTGAAGTTTGAATGTAAGTCTTCATATTTTCATGTTGATAAATCAATGTTTACAAATGGAAAGGTATTTACAAGATATAAGAATGTGTATTGAATAAGTCACTTTATGAATTATTAAAAGAAAAACAACATTTACTAATAAGCTATTTACCAAGATTAATGAAGACCGTAAAACATTTCAACTAACATATAACAAATCTGAAAGTAAAATACATTTCATGCTAGTAGCTTAGGCATGAATAAAAGCAGGAAATTTTAAGACAAATATGCAATAAAACGACAAAACAATAAGCAGTGACCTGTATAGTGGGCTAATATAAACATACTTGAAGGGAGCTGACAATTTAAGTGTAGTAAGATTAAATTTTCTGTCATTGATAAATCAATGTTTAGAACAGGAAAGGTGTTTTAATGTTGACAAATCAATGTTTACAATTAAGAAAGTGTATTAATGTTGACAAATCAATGTTAAAAATTAAGAAAGTGTTTTAATGTTGACAAGTCAATGTTTACAACAGGAAAGGTGTATAAAATAAAAGTCTTATAATCAATGTTTTCAATATAGAAAATGTTTTAATGTTGACAAATAAAGTTAACTACAGCAAAGATATTTTAATGTTGACAAATCAATGTTTACAGTAGGGAAAATGTTTTAATGTTAATAAATCAATGTTTACAAGGAGGAAAATGTTTTAATGATGATAAATTTGTGTTTACAATGAGGATTTTTTTTTAATGTTGATAAATTAGTGTTTACATCAGGAAAGATATTTTAATTTAGATAAATAAATATTTACAATAGGGAAAGTGTTTTAATGTTGATAAAACAATGTTTAAAATAGGGAAATCATATAATGTTGATAAATCAATGTTTACAACAGGGCATGTATTATAATGTTGATAAATGTTGATAAATCAATGTTTACAACAGGCAGGTATTTTAATGTTGATATTTTATATCAGAGAAGGTTATTGCATGTGATAAACAGAAAGGGTTTTATAATGTTGATAATCAATGTTTAACACATGAAAGATACTATAATGAAAAAAATCAATGTAACTTTACACAGGAAAGATACTATAATGAAAAAATCAATGTAACTTTACACAGGAAAGATACTATAATGAAAAAATCAATGTAACTTTACACAGGAAAGATACTTTAATGAAAAAATCAATGTAACTTTACACAGGAAAGATACTATAATGAAAAAATCAATGTAACTTTACACAGGAAAGATACTATAATCAAGTATAATGAAAAAAAATCAATGTTACTTTCAAGTTACAACATGGAAGGAAGGGCACAAACACTGTTGAGTTTAAAAAATTGCAGTTTTTACTTGTTCATTTGCCATTTATTTTGGTAAGAAATTTCATTCAATAAAATATGAAAACAATATTCCAGTGTTTGTGTTCTATAAACCCTTTTCTGTTTTTACATTAAAATTTCTTTTAGCATAAACCCACTTTTGTCACCACTCTGTGTACTAGAATGATAGGGCATTTTTTGGCTTTTGACCTGTCTTTGGCTCTCCAGACAACTTAAATAAATACTTTTCATGTTAATTTATCATACTCTAGGCATAGCTTTTATATAGACATGCCTTTAATTGGGAGCTTTATTTTGGTTTCTTAAAAGTAGGAGATTGACCCCTAAGAGTTGAATCCATTAAGTTATATAAATGATACATGGGTCAAATCTTTATCCCTTTAAATAAAAGGATTCCACATGTTGAGCCTCTTTTTAAAGGTCAAAGGTTTTTTAAAAAACAAAAGTAGAGTTAATATTTGGATGAAAATCTTCTAGTGGGTCTACCCAAATTTGTTTTAAAAAAAAGCCCCGGGGTCAAAAATTGGCCCAGCCAGGGGGGTATTGATTTTCCCTTAGCTTAGTAAAAATTAAAAATCTTTTTTAAAAAAACCCAAAAAGCTAGAGCTAAAAATAATAGCACGAAAAATTTTAATGGTGTCGGGCCCCAAATTTTTTTTAAAAAAAAACCCTGGGGTCAAAATTGGCCCGGCCCCAGGGGGTCATTGATTTTTCCTATATGTGTATAGCAAAAACTTAAAAAATCTTCTTTGAAAAAACTCAAATAGCTAGAGTTTAGATATTAAGCACGAAGCATCTTCTAGAGAGTGTCTACAAAGTTTGTTCAAATAAAAGCCCTGGGGTCAAAATTGGGCCCGCCCGGGGGACATTAATTTTCCTTATATGTGTATAGCAAAAACTAAAAAATCTTCTTTGAAAAAACCTGAATAGCTAGAGTTTAGATATTAGGCATGAAACATTTTCTACTAAGTGTCTACAAAGATTGTTCAAATAAAAGCCATTGGGTCAAAACTGGCCCTGCCCCAGGTGTGTCATTGTTTTTAACTATATGTGTAAAGAAAAAACTTGAAAATATCTTCATTTAAAAAACCCAGTGAGCTAGACCTTAGATGTTTAGCATGAAACATCTTCTAATGGGTGGCTACCAAGTTTGTTCAAATAAAAGCCCTGGGGTTTAAACTGGCCCCGCTCTGGGGGCCTATATACAGGTGAGCGACTTCAGGGCCATCATGGCCCTCTTGTTTAATTAATTTTAGGATGTTCATAAAGGTTGGATTAAAGTTCTTTCATGTTAAGGCAACTCACAGAATTTTCATGTCATTAGCCTCATTTTAAGGTCACGTCACACCTAAATGTCAAAGTTCTGTGCTAGTTATTTTGTGTCTGATGGGCTATAAAACAAGTCAAATGTTTATTTCATTGATGCAAGAGGTAGAGGTGTCATGTGCTTGTTAGGACTCCAAGAAATGCCCATGATCTGTTGGTCAGCAGTCAACACCTTTGCCACTAAGCAATCAGTTCTTTTTGATAGTATTTGAAGGGTCATTTTATAAAAAAATATTTTTATACAGCTGATGGAATCCAGATGGTTCACAGGAATACCGGAGAATTTTGAAACAGATTGGTGTACAGTAGCATGTCCTGTAGGGAAAAGATGCCTAGTCATGGCTATAGATGTAAGCCAATATTTACTATAATTTATTATAAGATAATATTTAGTTCCATTCAGATACATAATAATACATGTTATTATACGTGCTCATGCATAAAATAACAAATTCCAGTAAACTTGGAAACTTGATAATGACTTAAAAAGGAAGGGAGGCTATACTTTACATACTAGTATAATATGATATTAGGGCACATATGGTAGTGCTAATGAGATAAGTTGAAATGAGAATTATTTTAAACCTTTATTTATTACACAATGTATTGACAAGAAAATAAGCATGAATTAAATGGTGTAAAGCAGAAACTTTGGGAAAAGCAGAGGTCCCGTAAGAGCAATGAAAAAAAATTATAAAGGGTGAAAATGGCAGACTAAACCTTTTAGTTTAGTTTTTTATGACAAGGTTTTAAAGTTTAAATTATAAAAAAGTTTTTGTTACTGAAGCAAAATTTAAATTTTAGATCGTTATTGTTACTGAAGCAGAATGATGTACAATTTTAAGTATGAAGTATGGTAACTATTTACAGGGAGAGACGAAGTCATTTAGTAAGAAAGGTTTTAAGATACCTGGCTATTTCTTGTCAGTGTTACCAGGTGGTAATGGTACAGAGTATGGATTTGGTCCTACAGGTATGCTTAAACTGTAACAAAATAGTCCATAATGGACATGTCCTGCCATGAAGTTGAAATAATCCATAGTAAGTTGAAGGGATTTTAATTCCAAGTAGCACGGTTGCTGAGTGGTTTTTGTGTCGGGCTAGCCATTTAAAGATTACTGGCCATGCTTAGTACTGGTTGGCTCCAGGAACAAATTTGAGTATTTCAATAAGCTTATAGCTTCCAACACAATCAATTTCAAATGAATTCATACAAACTAATTCTAAACTGTTTTAATTGAGGAGTTACCAATTTTGAGTTTGGTTAGACTTTATGTACTTTCATAGCATTTATATAATACTAATGGCATAAAGAAGTCATTATTGCATTTAATATTTTTACAGGAATATAATTGATTATTTATAAGTGCATTTTTTCATCTTAAATTAATTGTAATGTCTTCTAATGAAATTTCAAAATAAATGATAATTTTACAGTTGTGACTCTACTTGATTGCTTGTTCCATGAAGAGATGATGACCTATTTTATTCTGGACTGTATTATGTGGGCATCGAATGACGTAAAAGACTTCCCGGTATGTAATTTTAAATGAGTCCTGGCTCTTTACTGGTGTCAAAGACAAGTTCGTATTGCAGTTTATCACACACCCGTGCCGATTTTGCGACTCCGTAAATATGATATTGCAAGGCCGTGCATATATTTTGATGTGACGTCATTAGCGTTATACAAACATAGTGCAAAGACACGCTGAATGTTAGTGTTATACTATAGGCGCGTCATTGAAAAATGACTCTTATTTCACTTTAAACGGTATTTCTTTTGGGTATGTGATAAATAGAATATTAAATTCCTGTAAGTTCATTACTGAATTTATTAGTTATTACTACTCGTTGAATAAAATAATATTATGCTCGCCAGAGGCTCGCATAATATAATTTTATTCAACTCGTGCAATAAATTCAGTATTGAACTTACACTCATTCAATATCCTCTATTTACATTCAAAGAGAGACTAATATTTATGTATAATCCATTGTCTTTTTGTTTTCATGATCACAACAGCAAATAACATTTGGGCTTCAGTAATCATAGGTCACCGTTGGTAAAATACAAGAAACACAAGGTCGCTCTTTAGATTTCTTTTATAGGTTTGCTGCTGCAACTACTGTGTACTGTCATGAAGTGCCATATATTTTAACAGTGTGTGACGGATATTAAAGGTCAATATATTTTTTCGAGCTGTAAAGTTGTAATGTATATGTATGTATCAATTGCAAGAGAATTAAATGTTGATATTTTGCTTTTTCTTACCTTATCAGTATATGGACAGAATGAAGTTTGTGAAAAGAGAAATTTCAAAAAGACCAGAATTTAAAAATATAACGGACCTTAACATGGTAGGTATAAATATATTTAAACATTTTTAAAACTACGTAAAGTGTACTCACAAATTACAGATAACATTTCTCAGAACCATTGTAAACACAAGAAAATCCAAGAACAACTGTTCTCAATTAATATTTTAGTAAAGATCATCCTTTAACTATGATTATTTGGTTTTTCAACTTTAAGATTGCAGACTTTTAAGAAGTTGCATACATGTACATTGTATTTTATCCAATTTTAATTATATGTATATGATAACAATTTTTCTGTAACTCCTTACTTAGACCAGTCCAGTACAGAGTCATAATGGATGTTATACCAGGACTTGTTGATCTGATAACTCTTGACAGGAAATAATAAACGTGTATGTTGTGTTGGTTTTTTGTTTGTTTAAAAATGTGATTTTATTGGGTAAAAATTTCACTACATTATGTTTTCAATATACCCTTTAAACATAAATTTTGGATTTTTTTTTTTTCAGTATAAGTTTGTGCCACTGTATCAGTATGACAGTTCATTAGAAGGTATTGATTTGTGCATGAGGCAGACAACATTTGAGGTAATGATTTTCTAGGCATGGAGCTTAGATATTTGGTGTGAAACAGTATAGCAGATCACTACCAAGTTGCATAGTAATCTATAGGAAAACCTTTAGAAATTTTATTTTCCTTCAACCAAGATATTGGGTTTTACAAGATTTTTAGTTTGTTTTCAATCATCTAAATTGGCCCAATCCAGTCCAGGGTTCACTTTATTGTACATAGTTATATAGGAAAAACCTCAAGAAATCGTCTTCTCCTTAACTGCAAGGCCTAAAGCTTGGATATTTTATGTCTAGGATTTTAATAGTAAACCACTAGTAAGTGTTATCAAATCATGAAACTGGGGTCAAAATTGAATGCTGAGGGGATCTTGACTTTACAAAGATTTGTCAAAGTACATCACTTGGAGCTTAGATAGTCAAATTCTGTTACAAACTTTGAATTGCATTTGAAAAAAATATTATTAATCAAACGAGTCTTAACAGTTTATATGAAAATGATTGAGAAAGACTTTCTTTTTGCATATAATATACAGGGAATAACCCAAAATGGTGGCCTGGGAAGGAAATGCATGCAATGTTTACAACATTTATTGTTTAAGTTGGAAGTCTGAAATTTTCATAGTTATTGCAATATAGTTTTGTAATTTAATTGTCATTTTCTGTTGTAGATTGATGGACTCTTATTCTTTAAGAAGGATATCAAGTACAGGTCAGAAAGCACGTCGGATATACTGTGGATAAAGCCATATATTTTACCAGACGTCTTTGAAGGCATAGCAGTACCAAAAAGACTTATGGCAGAAAAGCCTGACACATACACCGATTTTAATACATTCATTGACGATGTTGAACATGGTAGAATAAAAAGTAAAAAATTAAAACCAAAAAATTCAAAAAAACTTTAATCTGAATGTTAAACTAATTTACCTCCACCAGTAGAGCCTGCCAGCAAGGGAGGTAAGAAAAATAAGAAGAAGCAGACACAGTCCCAGGGACAAGGTTATGGACAAGGAGCAAACAAAAATCGGCCAGTATACAGGGAAAGTCAGGCTGTAAAAGGAAGTGGAGGTGAACAGAACAGCAGTTATTCACAGCTACTAGCTGGAGGTGAGCAAGGTCATGGTCAGGCAATTTATGGTAAAGGAAAGTTCACAGGGCATAGTTACTATGGTGACGAGAGAGACTATTACTATCCAGACCCAGGTTATAGATCAGACATGAGGGCTAGAAGAGACCAAGGAATGGCTGAGATGGAATCAGCTGTTCCATATAACAGCAGACGACAGTTAAATAATAAAGGTCGTCAGAACCATTTGTTTTGAATAGATTGTGTCAGTACCAAATCGCTTCGGATAATTGGCATCAGTATCGTTTGTTTGGAATAAATAGAATCAGTACGAAATCATTTTGGATAATTGCATAAGTACCATTTGTTTTGAATAATTGGTGTCATTACCAAATTTTCCTTAATATTTGGCGTCAGTAACATTTGATTTGAATAATAGGCATAAGTACCAATTTGTTTAGTACCAATTGGTTTTGAGTAATTGGCATCAGTACCATTTGTGTTTGTATTATAGTAGTCCGTACCAATTCATTTCTGTTTAATTTTAATCAGCACTTTTGTTTTGAACAATTATGTTAGATAATAATTTTTTTCACTACCATTTCTTTAAGGAATTGTCGTGCGTACAATTTCTATTGAATAACTGTTAATAGCACCCTTTGTTTTGAATAAAAGTTGTCTTTATTGTTTGTTTTGAATAATGTTAATCAGTACCATTTGCTTTTTAATAAAACGTGTTCTTTATTGGTTAGTCACGCAAGCGTTCATATTTCAGATGTTTTGTTTATCATTTGTTTAAAACGATCTTGTTTGAAACTATTTGTTCAACAATTAAGGTGATGATTTTGAGCCATTTGTTTTCAATAATTGGGTTGTCAACCATTTGATTTGAAAAATTTGGGTGACAACCATTTGTTTTAAACAATTAAGTCGACAACCATTTCTTTTGAACAATTGTGGTCACAGCCATTTATTGTTAGCACCATTTCTTTTAACATAAAGTTGGCAATTCTACTCTTTTTGAATAAACATGGGAAGTACCATTTGTTTTCATTAAAGGTTGGTAAAAGGCAAGCAGTATTATTTGTCTTGGGGTTCAAATAAGCTTCAAGAAATAAAGTATTGTCAAACTTTGATAAATATTAAGCTAAAGAAGTATCTTTGTTAGTGAAATGTTTATATTTAAGACATAACTGAGAAACTAATTTTACATTTAATTTCCCATCTAAAATGGAATATAATCACGATGAGTCGATGAGCCTGAATTATGGTGATTACAAGGCATTTAAAAAATAAATCCTGCATTTTATACCTTATAACCTAATTCCATTATAATATGGTAAAAAAGAGAATTGTTTCTATGATGAATTAAATTTAGCATAGACGTAATTTTTCTTTTGTAATTTGGTTTATTATTGTCATATCTGATGTCATTTGATGCGTAAGCATAATTTTTCATGCTTTGCATATATCATGTAATGAAACACTTTATTACCATATCGAATAGTGTGAAGCGTGTTAAAATGTTCTAGTCTAAATAGTACAATAAATCTGAAATGAAAGGTCATTCATTGTTCAAACCGAATGTGTTCAGTTTGTTTTATTGCATTTTTATCATTCTTTATATCTGTTTATAAGCTTTGTTAGTCTATTGAAAGTTCGTAATTTTCTGTATCATGTTACATTAGTCAGTATGTTACACGTTTTTTATATGACAATACAATAAATTGAATATTGATTTCACCAAAATATGATAAACTTGATTGATTTGTAAAACAAGTGTAAAATGATAATTGTCTCTTATGAACATAATGTGTATGATAAACATTATATGTATAAATATAAAAACATAATGTGTATGCTAAACATTATTTATCACATACCCCTGCCGTTTTAGCGACTCCGTAAACTTGGTATTGCACGGTCGAGCATATATTTTGACGTGACGTAAAGAAGCACTAAATATTAGCGTTACACTATATGAAAAATGGCTCTTTTTCACTTCAAACGGTCTACATTTTTGGTATGTGATAAATAGAATATTAAATTCGTGTAAGTTAATTACTGAATTTATTGAACTCGTTGAATAAAATAATAATTATTATGCCCGCCAGAGGCTCGTATAATATAATTTTATCCAACTCGTTCAATAAATTAAGTATAAAAATACACTCATTCAATATCCTCTGTGTATTTAATAAATATGATGAACATGATGTGTTTAATGAACATTATGTGTATGATAGATATGACAAACATAATGTATATGATACACATAATGTATTTGATTAATATGATAAAGATGATGTGTAGGATAAACGTTATGTGTGTGATAAAACTATAAAAAACATAGCATATCTGATAAACATGATGCATTTAATAAATATGAATATGATAAATATAATGTGTAGGTCTATGATAAATAGAATTACATTGTAGTATGTGTATTTCAAACATGACGAGTATGACAAAAGCTTTATACTTGTAAGATATATTGTTTATGTTTAAATAAACATCATGAAGAAAACAGCATTTTTTTTGAAGCACAATGCCTCCTATCAAAAAAGAAGGGGATATGATCACTTGTTTAAAAAATCAATGAAAAATAGCTCTGATAATATTATAAATAATCAGATACAATCTGAGAGTATTGCAAATAAGCTAAGGCGGCAAGGAGATAACTGGGTATATAAATTGAGTAGTAAAGTAACAGATGATGTAAACAGCCTAAGGGAAGTAATGTTATATTAGAGTATCCCAGTCAAATGGAAGTAACTTTTGATAGGAACATGTCAGGGAAAGCACCTGAATTAAAGTAACGTAACTCTTGATATTATATGTCAGTCAGTGGGAAGTAAATATTTCTTTCTGAATATTTGCAAATTGTAAAACTACGTCTGACATAATTCGAAAATAATATTTTCTTTCATTTATATCTTTGCAGTATTTGGTAATTTCCGTATCAGAACCACTGACGTTTCATAAGCTGACTCATATGTAGAATACGACTATGCTTATGCGGCCCCAGCCTATTGCGAAATGAAGGACACTACTGCCATTGATTGTTCTTATAAGATATGATCAACATAGAAAATTAAATTACATGTTTTATCCTTTTCTTAAAATAAATTATTCCATATCAGGTATTTTAATTATTTCGTGTGAGGCAGTTCTACAGCTGACATGTGGAAGAAAAGTTGTTCTCAAGTACTAGGTCATGCCTGAAATAATGAAGGAAGGGGCGCCAGAGGTTTGTTCCCCCAATAAAATCTTTTTACGTTCCAGTGGCCCATTTAAACAAAAGAAAAAAACAACAACACTTTTTTATGCCATAAACTTAATAACCTGGTTATCCTGCACTTATGTGTAGTCTGAAGATTCTGTGTGCTGGTGGCCTTACAGCTTAAGTATTTTATTTTAAAATTGATTAAATGATGTATTATGCGTAAATTTGATCTTTGGAAATACTTATACATGTAATAGCTAAACAGACTCTTCTTAAAAATGAAAAAGACATTTTTTTAAAAAACTTAACACACTATAAGTAAACAAAGTTTAAATAAAAATGGAAATTTTTATCCGCTTTTCGAAGAAAAGATGAGTTGGCTTTGATAAACCTTTTTCGGTTGTTGCACTTATTTTCATGTGAAAAGTTCCAAGCTCAAGGTCACTGGGACCAGTAATAGGTAACTGGGTGATTTCCATTTCTCAAAGTGTCAAAGCTATTTTTTTCAAACTTTATACACTTTTTCATTATTTTTCAGATCAAAAGGTTAAGATCATTGAGACTAGAAAAATATAACTCAAGCATTCAGGAACTTCAAGCTTTGTATGTAAATGCTCCTTGATAAATTCTGGCTGTTACACCTATTCAAATTGTGAGGTCAAAAGGTCAAGGGCAAAGGTCACTGCTACCAGTAAAAACAAATTTAGTCAATTTACATTGACCTAAGAACTATAAACTTTGTAAGTAAAGGCACCTTGGTGATATAACTTGCCACACTCATTTTAAGGTCAATAATTTAAAGGCCAAGACCAGTGGTACCTGTAAAAAGTAATAAGTGAAGTTCCATTTACTCAGAAATTATCAAAGTTTTTTTTTTTTTTTTAATTTGGTACATTAAATAATTTTTCAAATATAAAGCCATATCGCAAGGTCAGAAATTATGTAGTAATCTTCCGTTTTTACTTAAACTACCCAGGTTGATCCCTTTGATAAAGTTAAAATATCTCTTAAGGTATTTGATAAAGGTTATCACTTCAAGCTTGTATTACTTGTTATAGTGTATTTTTCTAATATCAAAATTCAAATGGCATTTAACACTGACAGCAATTTTGTTTCGCCTGCTACAAAGAAGTGTCTGTCCATATGTCCGTCAGTCACAAAATTTATCCGTATTACTTCTCAAAATCTTCTGATACAATTTCGTCCAAACCTTACTGGATCAGGATCAACAAAACGTGCGCATATCGTCAGCATTTTGCTGTTTAATGATTTTTATCAAAAGTTATGGCCCCTTATTTTTATTTCTAAAATTTGTTCAGACTACTTCTTTTATATTAATGCAATTTAAAACCGTCTTTACTGGATTGATAGGTACTCCAAGTTCTTATATTTTTAGCTCACAAAGTGACAGGGTGAGCTTTTGTGATCGCTTTTCGTCCGGCGTCCGTCCGGCGTCCATCCGTCCGTCGTCCGTAAACTTTTACTTTAAATGACATCTCCTCATAAACCACTAGGCCAATTTCATCCAAACTTCACAGGAATGTTTCTTTGGTAGTCACCTTTAAAAATTGTTCAAAGAATTTAATTCCATGCAGAACTCTGGTTGCCATGGCAACCGAAAGAAAAAACTTTAAATATCTTCTTTTAAAAAACCCTAAGAGCTAGAGCTTAGATATTTAGCATGAAACATCTTCTAGTGAGTGTCTACCAAGTTTGTTTAAATAAAAGCCCTTGGGTCAAAATTGGCCCCGCCCCAGGGGGTCATTGATTTTCCCTATATGCATATAAATAGCTGCCGGTTTCTTTTTGCCGCGCCAGTTTTTGGCAAATTCAACCCCTATTTTTACGCGCTTTAAAAAAATGAAAACTATCTTAAATTGTCATATTTACTAAAAGGTTTAAAAGTTAATATGTTTTGTTTTTCTATCTTTAATACTTTTTTGTAAAAATGCATTTAAAGTTTGCATTTGCCATGGCAAAATTAGAATTGCCATGGCAAGGTTTTTCCTACTTTTGCCATGGCAAATTTG